AACAATTACGATCAGGCGGTTTTATCATTCAAATATTGTTTAACAATATAATATCCTTTCTTTAGCAAGCAATTTTTAATGTGTGTTTTAAATTCATTTAGAGGCAAATCAAGTATTTCCCTGGATATCTTATAGAAATGTATACCTTGACCCATAAATGATCCATGAACTTTATGTAACCTGTACAATGGTAAGTTAAGTTTGTTTTTATTCCTAGTATTAAAAGTATGTACGTCACTGTGAGATAAAAGTTAATATTGTTTCGAACAAAAAGTATACAAAATCTCTTGGGCTTAGTTAATAAATAGCTGTTACTAACCTACGGCGCGTGGCACGACACGCACTTAGTTATATATTTATTACAGATTAGCGAACCTATCATTGTCTTGATGCCGTTTATGTATGATTTATAAACGTAAAGAAAATATTTACTAGAAAAAACTCCACTCGGTCCAGGTTTCAGACAGGACCTGAACTTATTTATAATAAAAATGTCCTTTGTGTTTAGTATAATGTATTATTATTCAGATCTAATAGGAAAGCGCCTAAATGTAAATAGAATTTCGTACAACATAATATAAATATTTTCATAACAATACCAATCGGTACCGAAACATAGGCTCAGATTCGGGGAAGAACAAAAATGGTTTTTGGGCTTAAAGGTCGTGACGACACATGTTGTCCTGGTTTCCATACAAATGTCTCCGGGCAAATCGTTCGAACCCTTATACGAGTATATCAGACTTTTAGCATAAATTGTAGTGGATATAAAAGGCAAACAAGTACCTGCCGCGTACGGATAAACCACACAATATTGTATATCCATATATATTTATTCTTATTACGTAACCGTACAAACGGACTTAATGCTGTTGGCATTCTTAACCAGTCAACCATAGGGTGTTGTGAAGACAATTAGTGGTATGGTGTATAACTGAGATGGAGATTACAATTAACCAAATGCATACCATCATACAGAAAGATATGATGACTAACGACTTAACTAGGCTGCCTGCTCCAGTAAAAGCTTCGTTGTTGCATTTGCTGGTGGACAATCTAATTTCTAGTGGGAGGTCATTCCACAGAAGTACAGTTTTGACGAAGAAGGAGGACTGAATATTACCAGACCGGTGAGATGGATCGATAAGTAAGTGATAAGAAGATCGATGATTTTTAGCATATGTACTGAAACTAGGACGTAAGCTAGGATGGGTCATTTGGAGAATCAAGCAATCCAGATTTTACATTTCTCACCATTATATATTGATATTATCAACAAGTAATTTTCCGTATATCGTATCACTCAATTCAAGATTTATTTTTGCGATATAATATACTTACCTAGCCTTTTCCGAGGTGTCCCTTTCACCGTTCAACAAAATTAGAGTTACAATTTCTTTCGAATATAACAGTAAGTATATATTCATTCATACACATTGGCAACATTTATAATCGATCAATTCTAAGATGTAGTTGATTGGCACCAACTATTTTTTTACTCATACTTAGATCACGTAAGTAAAAATTAAACATAATTTCAATACTTTAATTTAGGGCCGATAGGCCCGGCCAAAATATTATTTTTATTAGAAGGCAGGAAATAAAATTGGCAATATTAGCCGCACAAAAGTCGGAAAAGAAAAAAAAAACATATTTCAACCTCTATGGTTACGGATAGGAAGATGTTCATCCATGTAGGTCGTGTGTCTATTGTTATGAGTAATGACTGCGTCGGTGAGGTCGTTCGAAGTAATGAACTAGACCTGGGAGTGGGACCTAACCACGAACTACTGACGAGATCCAATTCCCATTGATAAAGTGAGACAAAGTGTTGAACTATTATGGGAATAGCTTCAGGAAAAGAATATATAATACTTAATAATAATTCATTTATTTACTTGAACAACTATGTGGTCCGTAATGCGTTGGTAAAATTTCACATTTATACTATGTTAGTTTATATTTAAAATAAAAAGACCACGGGGACAGATACAAAATTACTGTTTGGCCACACACGCCAACATGTGATTAAGGGTTTCATCCTTTTATTTTTATACATATCTTGCACTTATATTGTTCAGAATGGAGTTCGTGTTAACCCGATCCAATATTAACACTTTTTTATTATATTTCAAAATTTAGAATGAAAAAACCTAACGTTCAGTTCGGAAACTACCTAGTAAAAAACCGGAACGTCTGCGCTAGGCTCACGGAATTCCAAATCTGAATTCCTGATCGGGAAAGCTTCTGCTTCTACTGCTGAGGCTTATGAGGCGATCCAAATGCGTAAACTTCTTTCTTTCTCTTATAAAGATCGATCTACACATTTGTCCAGCTCAGTGTGCGACCATACAATGCTCCATATTAATTCGTGCATAACTTCACCAAACTCCATTTCGACTTGTGTGGTTTAATATTGACTTATTTATAACTCGACAGGATGTAACGAAAAGGGTAATTTATACAAGAGCACATACTATACTGATATGGAATCAATCACCAACCACCATGAGGTGTCCGTTTTTCAGAATCCACTGGAACCTCAAACTGCGTACGGATAGGGCGTTCCTTTGCTATGCCGGGACATGCTGGCCTAGCGTTCATCGGATACGCGTGCAGCTCTTGTACAGAACCGCCACAAATTTGAACTCTGTTTTTATTATTTAATATTGAAATTCCATTTTGCCGTTCAAATACAGCGTAAACGCGCGTGCGAGTTTCCTTTGACGCGCGACCAAAAACCAACTGACGGTGGCTCGCCAGCAGGCATAGAGCAACACGGCTGACGTGGCCAGCTTTCCCCTCTGTTGAATTGGGCATAAAAAGCAGTGTATTGTGTGCCCCCCCCCCCCCCACCCCGCAAAAAGGCAAAATGATTTGAATAGTATCATGTCGCTATGGCTACTCCCTTCCTTGTTGCTGTATGCCAGCGAGTCATTTCGCGCGGCACGTGTTCCCCAAGAGTGAACACGCTTTACATTTTCGAGGTAATAAGCTGTCTTTTATCTCAATGCAAGTGACAAGCTTACTTTCACGTTCCTAATATTAGTAGGATTTTCTAGCTTTTTCTGAAAATTTTACAATTTAATAATGTAAATATAATAAAGCTAATTGATTTTTATTATATCTTTTAATGAAAATTTCCTACGAAATGTTTACTTTCGAGTACATAAATGTTCGAGCGAATTGAATTACTTTTGACGTCTAGAAAATTAAGTAGAGGGATCTGCACGAGCGTGGCACTCCAGGATTCTCAGAAACAGTGTATTGTATAGTATCCTTCTATGTTTTCTCTTTCCGACCTATGCCCGTGCCCCTGGCTGTTTCAAATAGCAGCCTTAAGTAAAGCCAGTTTATTATTAAAAACGTTGAAATTTGAATAATTACAACCTATAACCTAGTCAGATACAAATTGTACAATAATTGAATAAACTTATATCAAAAAAACCGCAAATAAAACAAATACAAAAAAAAAAACAGTTTATTAGGCTAAAAGATATAGAAAAAAATGCAATTTCAATGGCGTATCAGCAAAATTTACAACGCGGTTAATTGGTTGCCAGGTATTTGCCGAATATTCTCCAAACACAGCCATCTCTGAATGTCTCAGCCTTAAGATTAAGGTGGAAAATTATCAACCTTGCACCTTGTAAAATATTCTCACCATAACTGAGCCCTATATAGGGCTGAACATCTAGGACAGCAAAAAAAAAATACAATCGGTTCATGAATAAAAAAAAACATGAATTCAAAAAATCAGATCTTATAAAGATCGATCTAGCCGTTCTTGAGTTCTAATTGGCTCTATTTTCTTTTATATATAAAGACTAGCTGACCCAGCGAACTTCGTACCGCCCTAAAAAAAAGGGGGTTGTCCAGCGGACAAAATTGTGAATCTAAACCATTCTCAGATCCCCTGGAACACACACAAAAAATTTCATCAAAATCGGTCCAGTCGTTTAAGAGAAGTTCAGTGACATACACACTCACAGAAGAATTATATATATAAAGATAATGAACAAGCTCAAGAAATGTAAAATACATATAGGTACATACTTCTGTAACTTTTATTAGTTTCATTCCTAAACACAAAAGGTGTTAGTATCACTAACAAAAACAGGGGATGGAAAAAAAAAACACTAGTTCTACGCGCCCAAGTCGAGCTTCGTGGTTGGTTCGTTGGTTGTGGCCACATTAATCAATGTTTTTCCGACGTTCTCTTCGTCTTGTCACTCTGTCCGTATATCAAGTTCTTGCTTTATTTCTGTTTTTACTACAAGAGTTACACGAAAACAAATCTACATAAATTCAAAAGTAATTGAAATAATAACATATTTCTTTACATTTAAAAATATAGTTTGATAAAGGATTTAAAAACAAGCATTAACTAATAAAGTTTGCACATTTTATACTTAAGAGCTGCCATCTATCGTGGAGAAGGAGCGTCTTGTATCGAAGCTTTTGCTTCAGCAGCAGTATTTTTTATATCTCGAAAGCATTGAAGGGAACTTTTGTAGGGCGCATTAGTTACTTAATTTCAGTGCGTTTACAAAGAGGACGCCAACTTTTGAGTTGAAAAATGACCAATTCATATTTACACGTTTGCTTATTTATTTCACACCTATAAAGAATAGATATTTAAGTGTTATCCATCTTAAACTTATTATCCATCCTGAAATTTTGAATAATGAACAAATATTTTCTTTTATGTGTAGTTTCGGGAATTGCTTTTTTTTTGTAAAATATACTAGTGGTCTAGTAGTGTAGAATAGAGAATAATAGATTAACTTCTAAGGCAGATCAAGGGTATTTTAAAAGAAGTGCATACGCACCGTTGCAGATAGTTATTCTTTGAAAATTGACAGTAATAAATAATGCATTCTTATGCTTCATAATGGTTCATGAGACACAATTTAAATAGCAAAATTGAATCGAGAACAGTCTGGCTATTTTCAGCCGATGTCAGCTCTATTCGTGACATAATTGTATTAGGTCTAGTAGAATGTGCCGCTGAGTACAGTTTGCCGGCCTGTGTGCAATGCACGGGCATTCGCGATAGCTTTACTACGTTAGGCTCAAACTAGATACATAATAAATGAATGAAAGATGCATTTGATTGGATCTTTCCATTTGAAATGCATAGTGGTGGTTTTTTGTTGGGTTTCGTGCACACATCCTGTGTTCAGTCAAAGAGCGTTGGGTAAGCTGATGTACCCTGCCCTTTGGGAATGATCATTGAAGATATAAGAGATTAAATATGAAAGTAAAATTTATATCACCAGGTGCTATATACGACGATGGAAGTTTTTTGATGGAAGCAGCTTTCACTGTAGCTATAGATGCAGTTTCTACAGACACTGATAATCCGTTTCAGGCTAATGTAGCTCGAACCTCTCCTGGTGATTTGCTAGAAAGCGAAGAAGCGATGTGCTCTCTATTAGAAGAAGTAACGTAATTACTAAAACTCATCGATATGTGTTTTACAAGTTTAAACTATAAGGAATGATATATTATTATATTTCAGACTAATATATTTGCTGTATTTGGACCTAAAACTAAAAGTTCTATTGAGCATATACAATCAATAGCTGATACCTTTGAAATACCACATATATTAACGGAACCAGTCACAACACAAACTCGGAATTGGTCGGCAATAAATCTATACCCCAATCACCTAGCCTATTCACAGGTAACAAAAATTAATGTACATTATTCACAGGTATTTTCAAACTCTTACTAACTTTACTTATAGGTTTTTGCTGATATTATCCAAGTGAAAGGCTGGACGGAATTCACCATTATTTATGAAGGCTCTGAACTTTTACCTTTATTAGATGGCATATTTAATTTGGAAGACTTGGATTCAGGCGATCATGTTATCATAACCGTGGTTCAGTTGCCCGATGGAGATGATTATAGGTTTGAAATTATTTAGTATTTACTGTCACGTTTATTCCCTACTGAATAATATAATCTATCCACTGTGGCATCATAAACCTAATGATTTTAGTATGAATAGCGAATTAGAAAATATGAATAATCTAAAAAGCGACTGTCTTCAATTTGCAATAAATTTTCAAAATATTTGATAGCGAAGAAAAGCAATTACAAATATTTAAGGCTAAATCATCAATATAGTTAGTACTCAAAAAAAAAAACATATCTGCCATATTTTTGTTAAAAAAGATTATAATTCTGTTACTCGAGTACTTTTTATCTTTATTATTTACATTTTACTTTAGGATTTTGTAATTTTCGCTTACACAACCTTTATTACAGGCATCAGCTAAAGGATATAAAAAGTTCAGGTTCATTAAATTATCTAGTTGATACTAGCCTAGAAAGGCTACCACAGTTTATGCAGCAAGCACAACAAGTCGGCATAATGTCGGACGATCACAGTTACATCATAATGAACCCCGATTTCCAAACTATCGATATAGATCCATATAAACATGGTGGTTCGAACATAACAGGTATTTTATTATATAAATACATTTTGATGTAAATACATACTGTTTCTACTGCGAAAAATCTTTTGACAACAGAATACTGGTATAAAAGGATACAGCAAATTTTAATAACTCTCTTTTTCATAAGCTTCTCTAAAAATTGTTAATAATAACAGCGAAAGGGTAGAGTTGAAAGTTACTGCAAATTAATCTTTTGTTCCAGGACTAAGGTTTTTCGATCCAAGTTTGGAATCAATACAAAATTTTATCACTTCATTAAATGCGAAAGTATCTGAACTGTCTGAAGAACAGATAGAAAACGCAGTTGGTGAAAATGCTTTGACTCTTGATTTGGCTTTAATTTCTGATGCAGTTACGGTTTACACTACCGCTCTAAACCTTCTTGGAATAACAGATGGGGCAAACGTTACTTGTGATCAAGATGAAAGTTGGGATTTTGGATCTAGCATTATAAATTTTGCGAAAACGGTTAGCAGGTTAAAGATATAACAGATCTATAATTTTTCTTTAACCATGGAAAACCTTTAAATAAATATATTAAGTGAAATAACAGTACATTAAGTAAATCATACGACCTGTTCTTAAAAATATATTATTTAGATACTGGTCGGTACTACTAAAAATATAATATTTTTTATGTTTAATCAATACTGAATGAATTATCATTGCAGATTGAAATAGACGGCTTAACTGGATTAGTAAAATTTGATGAGGATGGCTTTCGTACTGATTTCGAAATTGATGTTCTCGAAGTAATGGCCCATGGATTTGAAAAGGTATGCTGTTAGGTACTTTTATATAAAAAGGGATTTGTTGTGTTCTCACTTTAGCCACTTTAGTTTGTACTAAATTTAATTCTAAGAAAATATATGTATGATTTCGTTTAGTTTAAACTTTTGCGTTAAATAATTTAGTTTAAGTTCTAAATAGGTTGGCACCTGGACAGCTGAAGACGGCTACACTGAAGCACGAACATTTGTTCCGCCTGCTGAGCAAGAGGGTTCAGAGTCAATGAGAGGAAAGCATTTCCTTGTTCTCACTGCATTGGTAAGAGTGCATAAACCCGCTATTGATTCATTTAGATATTTTTACACAAGTTTTTAATCATTTTTTTGTTTGAAGAGTGCCCCATACGGTATGCTCAAAGAGAGTGCGATTATGTTAGAGGGCAACGATCGATACGAAGGATTTGGGATAGAACTTATAGAGGAACTAGCAAAAATGAACGGCTTCAATTACACTTTTGAATTGCAAACAGACGGTGTGTATGGATCTTATGATTCAAAAACTGGAAAATGGACGGGAATGATGGAGAAAATTATGGATGGAGTACGTATACTAAATATGTTTTCCATACGTTGAATGCCAATAACATATCTTTAATCTAAAATTGGGTAGCCTATTTGCATTTCAGAGAGCCGACTTTGCCATAACAGATTTGACAATAACAGCAGCGCGCCAGAAAGCAGTAGATTTTACGAGTCCTTTTATGAATTTAGGCATAACGATATTATACAAAAAACCAACTAAACAGCCTCCAGACCTGTTCTCGTTCATATCACCTTTTTCTCTGGAAGTAAGTTATGTTACTTTATAAAAATATAAAAATATAACCACAATCTGGTAAAAACCAGACAGACAAAATCAGTTTCATTTTTTAGTTCAGTCATTTTAACAAAATCTCGGCTGTTAAATGCAAAATTGTGAAATTACTTTAACTGGTATCTAGCTTAATCTTCCTTAATTTAAAATAAACACACTTACTTTGTAAAATAAACCAAATCCCTATAAAAATGAATTCTCTTAAAATTTTCCAGGTTTGGGGCTGGTTGGCTGGTGCTTTCGTTGGAGTGTCGGTGCTTTTATTTATTCTTGGCAGAATCGCTCCTGAGGAATGGCAAAATCCTTACCCATGTATTGCAGAACCAGAAACATTAGACAATCAGTTTACTTTAGCCAATTCTTTTTGGTTCACATTGGGAAGTGTACTTACACAAGGTTCCGAAATAGCACCTATGTGAGTATATTTTAGTTGAAAATCTATAGTAATAATACACCTTTACATTATTGGATTTTTCCGCTCCCGTTGAAAAATGCAAGAAGTTTGTAGCCAAATATTAAATAAGACCTTACTAGCAAATATTTAGAACCGCTGTGACTAATTGTTACTTTCGACATTCATAATTTTTCTTTGTAAAATGTATTCAAAGATGTTTTATATAACAAGAACTGATTCTACACTCAAACTCAATACGGCCTTTCACTGTTGTATTATGTATTATCATCAATGGTGCAAACGGAACCAATCAGTTTCATTTGCACCATTAATGTGCATTCGGTACAACGGGGAAATAACAGTTATGAATATTTAAATTATTTTCAAAATGCGTATAGATTAATGCTAGCCTATATAATTATGTGAAAAAAGTAGTGTTTTTATTGATTATGCTCACCATAATACTTATGCTGGCCCATTAGACAGAATCACACAATGAACAGAGTTTGTATAGATTTGTATATTCCAATGACTAAAGATGCAGTCTGAATCGATGGTTAAACTTTCATTTTGAAATACCTAAGAGAGAAAAAATAAGTGTTTTTTCAGCTATGCAAAGACCGCCAAATGAATGACAAGGTTTCTTAGTATTCAGAATAAAGTCGTAACTACCTACTTTGCCTGCGACATCGAAGTCTCCTCCAGATCTTATATATAATGCTATAAATAATAATCGTTGTATCCTTTTATTCCAGTGCTGTATCCACTCGGATGGCTGGTAGTATGTGGTGGTTCTTTACTCTGATTATGGTTTCATCTTATACAGCTAATCTTGCTGCATTTTTGACTGTTGAATCTAAATTTTATGCAATCAAAAGTGTTACTGATTTAGCTAACAATCCCTACGACATCCATTATGGCGCAAAAATGAAAGGAGCAACTTATAGTTTTTTTAAGGTAATTAAATGTATTTTTTTCTTTTTATATAGCACATTCTCTTTATACATTGATCTTTTATTTTAGGAGTCGGATAACTTGCTATATCAGAAAATGTATGAGTATATGGAAAGTCATCCAGAATACCAACCTTCAACTAATGATGAAGGACTTGAAAGGTACCATAGTTTGTTTGTTTGTTCTTGTTGTAAACATCTAAAAGTTAAATGCTTAAAAAAATAACAAAGCTTGTTGTCGTAATAAAACAATTATAAATGTATTTATTTAGAATATTTTAACCACAATGATTTTTATTATAAACAGGGTGAAATCAGATGAAGAAAATTATGCTTTTCTAATGGAATCAACATCAATTGAATATATGGCTGAAAGAAATTGTGATATTGCCCAAATCGGAGGACTTCTAGACAGTAAAGGATATGGAATAGCCATGAAAAAAAGTAAAAATGTTTCTTATATCTTATCACTTTTTGCACAAATCTTTTGCATCTAAGTTTGGTTAAATGTTTTTTGGAATTCGCAAATAAAAGCTGGTAGTATGGAAACAAATATCTCAATATCTATATATTGTAAGACCTTATATAAATGTGCCATTCCGTACCTACCATAATGCCAAGGTACCTTGAATAGAAACTAATGACTGCCATCTGAAAGGATAGTATCTCGTTCCATACGTAAATGACGAGACGGAATTTCTTGGAGGTTATCAATGATTTACCAGTTTTAATGGGTGGTTTAGAATGTATCCTAGGTTGGTTCTTGGCCAAAGTTCTTTGAGGCCAAATACAACAATCCTTGTTTTCATATCAAAACGAATTCGTATTTAATAGTTACGAAGATTGAGTTTATTATACTTCCATATATTATTACAGTTATTTCACCATCATTGATATATTAGGCTGCGGAATTATTAGTAAAAAATGTTAATGCTATAGAGATAGTTATTTTTACCAATATTGCCACGGAATTTGACATATAATAAAATGTAGGTTTTATCTATTAATCGTAAGAATATTATTAATATTTTTAACTTCATACACAAATTAGGTTCTTTGTAAATTTACAAACAACCTAAAAAATCCCAAAAAAAAATATCCAATTTTTAGATGGAGTTAATTTATACTACCTTAAAATTGAATGCAAAGCAAATTTAAGTCCCAATCAAGGTGTAAAAATAGTGAAATACCGTATATATTTTATTAAATCTATTCTACTCACTTATTTATTATAGATTCGCCTTATCGTCAACCGATGAGTGAATCTATTCTGCAATTGCAAGAACAAGGTGTATTAACCAGGATGAAAGACAAATGGTGGAAAGAAAAGAGAGGCGGCGGAGCGTGTACAGTATGTATCACTTTTCGTTAAGCTGGTGACATTTGACAGCAGTACAGGTATCTTTGACATGCTCCATAGGTAATAAAAAAGAGAGATTGTTACAAATATTAAAACGAATATCCATGTAAAGTACCAGTATTTTAAAATCATTCTTTGACGATGTATTAATGAAAATTCGTTTGTATAGATTACTTTGTGCTCACAATTCGCAATACAAAACTGAAGTTAGATTAGAACAAAGAATGATCAAAAGAAATAATCTTAAAAAAATAGGTATTTTAGTCAAAAATAAATATTGTGTAGATTCACGTTATCAAGAGAAAAGGTTTTCATTTTTGTCATCAACTTGGATGACAATATCAATGGTTTATAAGTAGCTAAGCGATGTGCGTGTGGACTGAGTGATCTTTTCAAAAAACTCATCCAATCACAACCAAATTATAAGAGGATTTAGGAAATAAGGGCGCTCTGTGTACGCTAGATATTTGTCTGATAAATTACCACAGGACGACGACGCAGGCAGTGGTGACGCCCAACCCTTAGTCTTGGCGAACGTGGGCGGTGTATTCATAGTACTGGCGGCTGGTTCAGGCTTGGCAGTCGTTTGTGCTTTGCTCGAAATGATAGTCGATGTATGGCTCATATCTCGCACACAAAAGGTACAGAAACATTTTCACCCTAATATTTTTTCTGTAATTAAATGTAGGTCCTTGATTAGGCAAACATCTGTGATAATAATAATTATATCTCATGAGTTGTATGAGATGAATACACTGTGAGCTACATGAAGTTTTAGAAAAATATCAGTTTCAAAATATTGTCTTTTGCAAAAAAGATAAATATTCCTCGGGACAAAATATGTTCATTTAAATTAGGCCCTAGAAACCTTTCATTTAAATTAACGTTGAGAATACATCTCTAATCTGTGTTGCCGTTCCCAGCCGTGCATGACTCGATGTCCTTACCTTACCTACCAGCTAAATGCCATGAAACCCTGCAATTATGCTCTCTCTATTTTTGGTAAGTTCACATACACAATACTCCTTATTTTAAAACTACATTCTTCATTGAAGTATGATTGTTTATTAAATGTGATAGAACATTTTCATTATATACTGTGCAATGACGTTGTGTGTTTCGTAGGTATCATTTCGAGATGAGCTAAAAGCTGAACTAAAATTTGTATTCGGGTCTTCTGGCGATGTGAAGCCGGTACGTCATCGTGAACCCAGTGGTAGTGGATCAGAAGGATCCAAAGGCTCAAAAGGTACAAAACGAAGTAAAGACTCTAATGAAGAGGAAGAAAAGATTATTGACGTAGAATCCGTAAAAGATGAAGAGGAAGATGATAAGATGGAGCGAGCGCCTACTCCCAGATCAGAACGGTCGTCTCACTCACATCACACGTTGCATAGTCGAAGACAAAGCAACGCTGTACAAATGGCTAGGATGCGGAAATATAGTAGAAATAATATGTGAACTTACATAATATAAAATAAATCAAGGTAAATATTGTAACGGACTATATTATTTAGGCTGGATACAATAAAATATTAGAGTTGCTACTTTGTTAAATCGGTGTCTTATTTATAACTTTAATAAAACCAACTTAAAACCAACGTTTTTTGTTTTTCATTTTGTTCATCACGCTTAAGAATCTTTTTTAGTGTTTCATAGAATTTGCATAACTATGTTAATAAAACATCTAACAGGGCATCAAAAATGGGGAAACTGATTCTAATACACGAACACAATATGACTGCCTATCCATTTACAAGAAACTTAATATCTGCTTACCCCGATGGTTGACTGGTAGAGAATGCCGCGTGGCGTTAAGTCCGCCAATTGGTTGTAAAACAATAAAGAGTAAATAAATTAATAAATAAACTTGTTATCTAATCTATGGTAGTGAGATGCTACTTAGATCCTTCTAACCAATTTCACCCAAAAGCCGGAGTAAAATATGATCATATTGGACGTCGGACAGTTAATTAGTACCAGTTTGCGAAATGGCACTTGTCAGTGGTTCCATGTGTCTTCATTCATGAGGGTCCGTTAATGAAGGCGAGTGATTGAGAGGATTTAGTGACTTTTCGAGGTCGCCAGTGTCAAGACGCAATATGAGCTACATAATTATGTGTTGCCATCTAATCAATCAATTTATGTATATTATTTATAAACTTTGCATGGTTCATTAATAATATTGTCGAAATAAACATGATCGGTATATAAAGTTATTAATGGTTGGTTATATCATATTCTTTTTAATTGTGTGATCATAGTTGTGGTCTAAGATTACAGAACAAAAGACAGATGGAGCGCACGGTACATAGATTGCGTGCCACCAAAACAAATATCAAGTCCAAACTAAAGACTTTTTTTTCTTTGTGTACAGTTTTTACAATAGTTGAACATGGCGGCAGTTTGATAAAAACTGCTGCCATATCCACGGGACATGCGTTGCTGGAACATGATGCGTTGTAGTGTACTGACGCTTGAGACAGCCGTGTTTGTACTATTTTGTGCAAAAATGGACCAATAAAAAAAAAAATAACTGCTCAATGTATGGTTGTACAAATACATAATTGAACGGTGAATTGTCTTATTTCATAACAATAACATTAAAATTGATATATTTTAGTTATTATTAGTAAAAAAAATGACAATCCTAGCATGATCGCCGAGCGTAGGTGTAAAGTACATGCATACATGTCATTGTGTTTGAGTTCCGTACCTATCTGTTTTGTGGTATAAACCAAGTTACCTCCATAAAACACAGCCTCGGGCGTCAGTGCTTTTGAAAATTAATAAATACATAAATTTCCTAGGAACATTCAAATAAGAGCCCTCAAGCTTTAAGTTAATATGAATAGTGTTCAAGTTAGTTAGTAACACGACACCCGAACGGCCTAATGCGTACATATTCCCCTAATTACCACTCTTCTGTAGAGTTCTGACTTGCGATGCCTACAAAGCTAATGGACTGACTATGTGAGATATCTATATTTTTTCGCGCGTCTGAGCGGCTATAATCGTAAATAATGGCTAGCGTAATGATGACACTGGAGAACAAGACGTTCTGAGTCATAAGTTGCTCGTGGATGAAAATAGATCGTTTTTACAATGTACCGCTTTTTATGAAACAAGATTTATCATTGCACAGGAACTGATGTGTTTCTTGCGTGTAGTAAGTGTAGGAATGAATGAAATGCATTGATGTTTCCTGTTTTTGTTGGACACTCGCCACATTTTTCCTTTTTCAATCGGGGCTGGGTTGCAAAATTTTATTGGTTCATCTAATAGGAATGTTAGTCGCCTGTGATATGTCTCAAAAAAATTGTGACTAAACCGTTCCTTTTGCAATCGTAAAAGTAAAAATTACGCAAGACCGATTGTTATAAGATTTGTAACCAAAAAATAGATTATCTCCAGCTCATCAGATCTTCGGAAGCATGCTGAGTTATTGGTTCCCGCTGCGTTTTCGCTCGTTAGTACCCACCAATCCGTCATAAAGCATAGGATAGTTTAGGGCCATTAATGAGCTGATGACGTGTACATATCAGCTAAAAAATTTTTGTTAAAAATAACAAAATTTTGTTATAGTAACAAACAGTGTATTAACCATAATATTTATTTTACCAAATACTCAAATTTATGAAAATTAAAATGTTTGTAAACGGAATACCCAAACACAATTTGAATCAACCAAATCAAGCATTCTCTATCCCGTGGAGACTCAAGACTCTAGCACAGTGGTTCTTAACCGGTGATCCCTGGAAGCACGCGAAGTGGTTCGCGAAGCCATTCGAAAAAATATTACATAAGGAAGAATGCCGATTGATTTACAAATCCTGTGGGGGGGAGGAGGGTAAATCGTAACTTGTGGTTAGTGGCAGGACGGCAATTTCGACAAATGGTCCTTATTCAAATGCCCCTGATACTCTGAGGAACAAGCACATCGAGATGGGTCTGGCAATGGACAATCACGCGAGGCCCTTACGGGTCCGGAAGTGCGGTTTTTGGAATTGCGCCGGTGCAGGAGCTATCCCTCCCTGCCCAGTAAATATGTAGGGAGGACTCCACGGATATCCTCGTCGCACGCTCTCGGTGGCGAAGTAAGTCAAAAAAGAAGAAAATTAATAAAAAAAGTGTCAAGAGATGCAACACCAAAACCAAAAATGATTAACATGCAAATTTCAATAATACGAAACTCTGTAAAGTTTAATGTTCATCGTTGAGTTCACTTAGTATCCGAAGGTGTATTAACTCCCAGTATGATAAGGTTTGTATAACTTTGTGAGTGTCAAGTCTTCTACAGAGTTATTGCTAAGGATTAAATATTCAAACACTCTCAACGTATCTACTCCTAGGATTGTAAAATGGAAACGGTTAGTGTTCTTATTAATTATGTAACGTTGAGACTTTGAGAAGACAGTTTAATTTAAGAAGAGTTGAAAAAGATAAAATATACAAGCAAAATAATTAATTTACTTAATGCAATGATATTCACAATATAACCTTTTTACATGGAGTGGAGACAAGCACAGATTATCTATATATAGTTAAAATACTTAAGTTAATATTATCGTTATTAAAAAAAGGAATATATATGTATTGTAAAGTACCATTTTTCTCAACACTGCCGAGTCTGATTTTGATGCTCCAGCTACTACTATATTGTTACTACAACAGTATCGGTATTGGTTCTTGGACCACTTTCACACAGTTTCTTTTTTAACAACTACACGGCTACCAATTTGTATTGTTGCGATGTAGTTTTTTGTTTTGAACTCCCGTGGATAAGGTTATTGTTTATTATAAAGATAATTATATTAATTTCTATACGAGTTGATTGTAAAAATGTATTTCTACATTGATAGGCCTTAATACAAACGACGTTAGTGGAAGTTTCTAATCGATTTAGTGGAACATTTTTTTTTATATTTTAGAATGTGGTATAACTCTTTGTTCTGTATTGCACGGAACCATAGACTTGACAATTGTTCTATCAATGATATTTCCTTCGATCAAACAAATCCACTCAATGTCCCATTTACATCTACAGTATTAAACCTTAAAGAAAAATAATTAAGTATACTCTCTTCTCCTAGCGAAAGCGACGCTTAAACCACTAGAAGAATGCTTAGAGCTATGTGAGTGTTGCGTCCTACGAGTAGATGTAGATTTGCCCGAAAAATGTGATTTCAATGTAGCGATGTCATCCTTCCCCTCTGGATCAGCTAAGGCTTCTGCACTTCCATCTTCTGTCTTCGGTGGTCTTTTGACAGGTTTGACGTCACCACTGAATTTAAGGGCGAACTTGAGCTCTTCCACTAATTCATATTTGAAGGTGGTCTGTGGAAAAATGTACAACACATTAAAAAAAGTTGGTAAGTAATTCATTCTGTAACTTCCTTCTTAAGTAAATCTTTAGCTTAGAAAATCTAATATATAAAATTCACGTGCCACGGTGTGCGTAATTGAACTACTCCGAAACTGCTCGACCGATTTTCGTGAAATTTTATATGCATATTTAGTAGGTCTGAGAATCGGACAACATCTATTTTTCATCCCACTAAATGTTAAAGGTAGAATCATTTTTTTATTTTTTTAAAAAAACCCTTAAATTTTTTTTTTCAACATTTTTTTTATTTTTATTTTTTTATGATACATCATACAAAAATACATACAACTCTAAATTTTCACCCTTCTACCACCAACCCCTATTTTTTATGGCGGTACGAAGTTTGCTGTAACAGCTAGTTTTTGTATATTATTTTCCATATTGCCGCTGTTAGTCATTCATAAAATACTACGAGAGCAAGTATAAAAATTTGTGAAAACATTGATCATAATTTATAATGCATAGTGTATATGTAACTGTAAATGCCTATATATTGGTCAATCATAGGTTGTGCCAGTAAATCTAATAATTTACCGACATGCATTAGTCAATGTAAGGATTTGTAGAAAAGGGAGTAAAAGTCCGACTTTTATTTTTTACCATAGAATTTAGTACATGCTAGGTTTTACCAATGACGGCTGGTTAATGTTAGTTTTGAGTATAAAACAATATCAAATAATTTAATTCTATTGTTTTTGTGTGTATGTTAAGGGAATAATTTATGAATCATTTGTACTGAAATGGTAATTTCGCCAAATCATTACTATTTTTAAATATTTTCATTTGGTATTTAACTTAATCAATATTTTTCTTATTATTTAACTTTTCTTACTGACAATTAGTGAATATGTTATAAATAGGCACTTAAAACAAAATTGTTTGTTATTAATAGGCAAATTGAAAAAAGACAATCAATTATTGTCATGTCTCAGATTTTCCTGGAAAATCTTAGGTATTACCGTATTTTGGGCTTTTGCGGAAACATATACATGTAACAGAAATAACGCATACCCTCAAAATTGATTATGACAAATATACAAATGAATCAATATCAGTAAATTTTATATTTATTTTTATTTTATCAGTTTAAACAGTGATATCTTAATGTTAGAAAAATTATTAAATTTACATTTGTATTGAAACATATCACTATTAAGTGATATGTTTCACCTTGTATTATATATCAAAGACTTGTTCAGGATAACTACATTAATGTTAATTATTTTTTAGGGTAGTGTTTTTAGATTAAAATATCTATAATAACAAGCTTATATTACACTTAATTTGTAGAAAAATCCATTCATAAGCTCATTCCAACCAAAGTACTTTCAGGGTGTGCGTTATTTCTGTTAAACGTTGTAAAATGATTCATGGAAGGAAAAACAACTAACAAAATAAATCAATAAAAACAGATACTTATTACGTAAAACAATTAAGGTCTTTTATAATTACAACATATTAAAAAAATAACTAACAGCACCAAGAAATATTTTAAAGTTTGACTTACACCATACTTCACGGAACGTTTGAAAACACCCCAGAGCATGTCCAAAGTGGATATACCGAGGCCAATAAGGCACCCCACCCCTAGCACTACAAAAGCGCCTGACATATTTTTCATTTCCAGACGCTTAGCACTATCTTCATGTTTTTCCTGGAAGAAAACTTCTGTTAAACACTCTTTTATAGTAATTGGGAAGATGCATACCTACTTTTGGAATTCTTGTGAAATAAAAACGCGATTTTATTTTAAATTAGAGTAATTATAAAATAGAACAGGTTCAAATAATAATTGGAATACGTTTTATATGCACAAATATTTTCTGTTTTTGGTTATTCGTATACCCATTTTTTTGTAATCACAATACGTGTAGACTCTTATGTAGCTAACTTCGTTATCGGATTTTAAAGGTTTGCCCTATTAGGTAATATTAGGTTAACCAAATACCTATGGGTAATTTAGGGTTTCATTTAGAAACCTTTCAAAGGACGATTGACAAATATTTACTTTCTTTCTTGATGTAATGGTACAGTGGTAACTATACATATACACTCATATTATAAATGCGAAAATGTGACTGTTTGTCTATCTGTCCTCCTCATCCTCCATCGCATTAACCGCAGAACTGATTTAAATGTAATTTGCTATAAAGATAGTCTGAGTCCCAAAAGGATATCGGATAGTTTTTACCCCAAAAATTATCTTCCGAGGGGGTGAAAAGAGGTTGATATGGATAACCATTTTTTCCACTCAGACGAATTTGCGGGCACCAACTGTTTTATATTGTTGGCTGTTATTAACTAATTTTGAGGTCATACACAATTTAATTCACGGAATATGCACATCAATTCTGTACCAAGCGATCGATTCGTAATTCGAATTTTGACAATCGTCAAATGTATATTAAGTACTGGCTGGTGCAACAGTCATTGCAATATTCTGTGGCGTTATGAAATGACGTTATGCATAACTGATGTCCTAAATTAGAAGCTATTGAACTCGGAAGCGAGATTTTATTTTACAGAATCGTCATTTTTCTGTCTGTTCATTTTTAATACTTTTGTGAGTATAACTAAGGAGTTCGATGGCGCAAGTGGTTAGCGTGTTCGGCTGCGATTGTTAAAGTTAAGCAACTTTCGCAGTGATCGGTCATTGGATGGGTGACCAAAAATCTTCTTTCTCGAGTTCCTCCGTGCTTCGGAAGGCACGTTAAGCCATTGGTCCCGGCTGCATCTGCAGTCGTTAGCACCCGTCAATCCGCACTGGGTCCGCGTGGCGGGTCATGGCCCAATCTGCCTATTCCATCCTTATGGAAGGCCTGTGCCCCAGCAGTGGGGACATTTATAGGCTGATGATGATGATGATGTATTACCAACCTGGCATTTTCCTCCACCCCTTCTGTCCTTCCACCATAAGTCCTTCAGCTTTTGTATTTGACCTCTCTCCTTAAGTTTTAGTAGTGCATCATCAATATGGACTTTGTATGGTGAATCTAGAATCGCAAATTTGCATAACATAATAAAATATTGTGTCAACTTGAAAAATTTATACGTCTTCCATGCAAATAGATATGTTTATTTAAAAAAAAATATAAATTACTTTTTTTCATTCCGATGCCGTAACTCTTCTGGTCAAGCAAGTTGCCAACTTGAAGTAAATCACAATGTCTCTCCCTGTAGTATTCTATCGACGCTCCTTCCATTAAAAATGCATACGTTGAATTTTCTGCTCTGGAAATATTGTTTGTAGGTTGTTTTTTTAAATTATATACAATCAGACGCACATTTATCACTAAACAGACAGACAAACGTATATTTTTCAAAAGTCTGCTCTGACTAATATTTGCAATTAACTAATAAGGACACTACTTAAAAAATACTTGAATGAAAATATTTTTGGTATAAAAAGTAGGTATATGACCTACTTTAATGCTTATATTACTTGTTTATTGATATTTGTATAAGTTAACAAAATAAAATATATGGTGACATTGATGCTTTGTTTGATCCTAATAAGTAAATATAACATCAACTAAATCCTTATGAAAGGCTCATTTCAACAATACCTCACACGATATATTTATTTTTTAAAAGTGATAGAAGAGGGAGGGTCAACGTAATAAACCCCCCTCACTATGGTGGTTCAACTCAAACTCAAACTCATTTATTCAGTCTAGGCTGTTACAAGCTCTTGTGAAAGTCAAATGCTACGTCATCGGTTCGTAAATCTACGGCGGGAGACCTTGTACCGAGAAGAACCGGCAAGAAACTCAGCAAGGGCTATTTTTTTCTCCCTGTTTTGTTTCATACAGTGTCGTCAATTGAAAGATGACATCAAAAACTAAAAACATGTGTTGATGTCATATTTCATCACATTAATATTATTAATTAACAATAAGTTAAGTATAACTAACAATTTTCAACCAAATTAGCAAAGTAAAACGACTTAGTCTATTATATTAAGCCCAAGGTTCCTTATCATTTATAAAATCTTTAACTGTATAGTAACCTTTCTTAAGGAGACAAGTTTTTATACGCACTTTAAACTTATTAGCCTTAGCCATCCATGTATAAACAAAGCAATATTATTTATTGCAACTATTCTCCTACAACGAATTGCGTTCCACATCTCCGAAGCCCTTGATCAGATCATGTCAATTTTATACCCTTGCAATATCTAAAAGGATTTTGAAAATCTTCCTCAAATTTGAATTATTTCCGATAAAATGACGTAATCAATGTGTTCCAGTACATGGCCTTATAGTAATCTGTATGCAATAGAAAAACTGCCATAAATAAACCAACTGGATATTAGGAACGTTAATAATATTATATTTATTAAGTTTTTCTGTTACTGTTAAAAAAAATACCGAGCTTTTTACAGCACCAAATTTATTAAATATAAATAAAAATATTACACGGCAACCAATGTAGTTAAAGGGTACGTTAAAATATTTTTTTTTTGTTCATAGTAATCTTACCTACATCAACGCCTGTTAAATTTAAACTGTCACCAAAAAAATGAAGACCATTCGACCCTACTTAAAAATTAAGCTGTTCTTAAATATGAGTGACGTTTTAATATTATAAAGTACCTTTAAACACTCACAATGCAACACCGTCGTCGTTCGCGTTCACTGCCCATCCTTTTGATTGCATCTTTTGATACATTTTCTTATAAATCTCATTTGAAGCCCCCTGTAAAATATTTAAGTGCATTACATTATCATTTTGATGAAATTTTAAATTTATTAGCAAGTAGTAACTCAAATGTAATAGTCACAAACACACATACATGTTTCATTCACTAAAAAATTAAATTACCCAATTCTTCATCAATACAACTGAGAGGAGTAGATACCTTAAAGAAATCCATAGTAGAACCACCATTTTTCGCACCGTATGCAATTGATTTTTGTTTGTATAGATCTTCAGGTGTCTTAAAGGGCACGACATTCTTTTCTACCGTTAAGAATGCAACTAGGGTACCGACGTATGAAGCCACCATCACCATTGTGAAGAACCACCATATACTGGTTATCATTCTTGGAGCCAACGCACTGAGGAATAATTTAGTGCATTATAATATTCAACACATTTGCTCAAAAAATGCATTTACGGAGGTTGTCTACATTGTTCGAACGTTCAAAATTACGGGCCATTCAACGGAGAGTGCGGTAAAACGTTTGAATTATTTTTTTAATTTAAATTTATAATTTTCAGGCCCACTTGCACTAAAGTTCTTAATACAAAATTATAAGCTCATCATGTGTAAGCTTCTTTCTATCACTATTTGACATTAAACAATTAACAAAGTTGCAATGATGTGTTTAACAGGATAAAGTTTTCATTACATTTAAGATATGGTAATAGTGACCTCCAGACGAGCTCACCTATTTAAAATTAAATCCATTTTCCTTTAAATACTCTTTCGAAACTTACATGGGTGCAATTTCTGAGCCTTGCTGCATCACGGATCCAATGATGAGCCAAACTGAGTTAGCGAAACTGAACTGGTTGCTGAGCTCTTCGGGTTGTTCAATGCAAGGCACGGGGTTCTGCCATTCCTTGTTGGAGATACGACCAACGAAGATCATAATAACCCCTAGGCCCAACTGGATAAGGACCATGTAATACCATACCTGAAATTTTATATTTCTTTAAATGCAGAATTATAAATTTAAAGAAAATTTTACTAGAAAAAACTTCGCCTGTCGGATGCCTGAACCGCATGGAGTTTTTTCTAGTAAATATTTCTTCTGAAATTTTGTGTCATTGTATTTAATGAACAATCTACATTACGCTCACTCTACTGTCTGTAATCTGTCTGTCTCGCTTTAATCGTTGTAATGAACACGCAGCCAACAAGTGGTGGACTCGACGACCATTACTTAGCTACAACCATTGTAGTAAATACAAACTCGTACAGTTCTGTGCCCAACGTGCGGGCCAACACTCCAATCACCTTTTAAGACCCGTCTTCGAGATGACCAATATGTTGTTCGCTCCAACCATAGCAAACTTGAAAAGCGGTCATTATAATGGCAAACAGATACGAACCCGCCTAGCATGAGCACAAGAACGCGATATGATAAAGGTTTTTATCAAAACTCAGCTGACAAACTCCATTGTATTTTGACAGTCAATATCGTTAAATATTGTAGGAGGAGGGCATAAATAACAACCTATAAAAATCACGTTAAATAAGTAAGAAGTACTAAATAATTGTCTTAATTAACCCCATTCCCTAACCCTAGGAGCTCTGGCAATCTTTATCCACCTGGCGCACCTGTACGCCTGACTAGGTGTATCTAGGATAATTATTTTATTTCAAAGGCTCCAGTAATTATCACTCTTTCATTTGATTAAGCCATAATGAAATCATTGAAATAACAGAAACATAAGGGTATGTTTTTAAAGAAGATTCAAACTTAATATGAAATTCTTAATTAACAAAATTAAAGAGAATGACTTATTAATTTTTAAGTGTTTAAATTAAGCAATTTTTTAATTTTATTTGTATTTTATGAAGAATACCAAGTAGTCCTGAATATTATAAACCACTATACAATCAATTATCACTTTGTCGTGTCGCAGCTGTGCCTAGTTGGGTACAGCACGGGGGGTAGGGTACATATTTATTATATATATATATTATGGTGCATATTTATTATTAATGCAAAATATATGGAAGTTATATTCGAATTCGAGTGCTAACTTATTTATTTATTATTTTGCACTGTTCTGTTTTAACTTTACGAAAACATTAAAAAACTAACCTCTTTCGAGAAAACTTCCATGAATGAGAACATGGCGGGAGGTTGTTTACTCGGCTGCTTGTACAATATAGCGATGCCCGTAGTCATGAACGGCGTTGAAAAATCTATAGCTTTCTGTCGTTCCGCTGTCATTGTGAAGTCGCAAATTCCCAAGTCCGCTCTCTGGGGAAAAACATCTATAGTCCTAGACTGAGCGACCATTTCATGTATAAGTTTGAAGCGCAGAGTTCAAATTTGTTACGCTTTCACACCTAAACCATTGAATCGTTTGTATGTAATTTCTTTAAAAAGATATATGGGACTCTGAAGAAGCTTATAGGTTACTTTTTGTCACACAGATAAAACTTTAGAGAGTGCTTTTGTGGATTGACGCAAATTGTGTGTACGTGACTAACATAAAAAGTGGTGATTAAGATGTCTCAACCACTTTCGACCCGAGGCTGCTAGGGATACTGCCAGGGGTGAAAGAGGTGTTAAAAATAAAGTCATAGAAAGAGGAGAGGAAAAACAGAGAAATATTTGGATGAGGTAAGAAGATAAGATAAGGGAAGGAATAAAAGGACGTAGTAAGAGGAGGTATGAAGATGCTTATTGCTGATACTTTAAATAAGACTGGTACGGTAAATGTGAGTTTTTCGTTTAGTGTCTAATGAAGGGGTTATTAGATGTGATAGCGGAATTAAAATATTTTAGCTTAGAAAAGTGTATTCAATGAAACGTACTAAGGATTATAATGTGCTTAATAATTGCATTCTTCCTTTAGCTACAGAGCCTCGTATCCCGTTGTACCGAATGCACCATTTACTTTCATCATTAATGGTGCAGATGAAACTGATTAGATAGTGTCATCTGCACCATCGTGATGATACTTATGCGTTAAATGCGATTATATAATAAGATATTTGCATGTTGTAATCTATTATTGTTATTAAGGGGATTGTTACCACCTTGATTATTATGAGTTTCCGATATATCGGCACTGTTGCAAGCGCCATGATCACGGAGTAACTGAAGTAATTGCGTGTGGATGTTATTGGCAGTCATATCTCGAAGACGACGCCATAGGATAGACCAATCGTTAATAACCATAATGTTAGTGACCATGAAAGTTTAAAACAATACATTGTTATAATCTAATTTTATGAGGAGCTCGATGGCGCAGGTGGTTAGCACGTTCAGCTGCGATCGTTGAAGTTAAGCAACTTTCGCAGTGTTCGGTCATTGGATGGGTGACAAAAATTTATTATCACGAGCTCGCCGTTGGTCCTGCATCTGCAGTCGTTAGCACCCGCCAATCCGCACGGGGCCCGGAGTATATTAAAAAAAAAAAAGTCGTGGTAACAAAGGGGGAAATGGTTATATTCACATTAATGGTACAAGTTAATGGTAGATCGGTACAATCGGAGAAGTTTTTCATCGTACACAACATAACAAATTTAATATAATATTTATTAACAAAGAAAACGCATTTATACAAATCACAATTATTTTACTACTTTGTCATCATATCGAAGTGCATGGATATGCAAAATACATGGTGCTTATGACTATAGAAAATTTTGAAGTACTAAAACAACTCAGAGAGTTGAATTGTGCATGATAGAAGGAGGACAGAATGGATAAAGAGAGCTACAGTAAGCTTCTTTGTTCACTCGGAACTCTAAAAAATAGTTTTATTACCACGAAAAAGTTAGACATTCGTTCACACAAGAAATGTAATAAAAATTTGTCTAAAGAAGGTTTGATGTAGTAAGACCGAAAATGTTTTCTAAAGTCATGGCAGCAAGCACCTCCAAGGGATAAAAATAATACCTCTTCCATTAGCTTCAGAACCATACCGGTGTACTTGCCAGTATCCGGGTCAAGTTTACCATATACGCCCTCTATCTCGAACTCGTAACTGAATCCGAGAATATCAGCTATTTTATCGATAAGATCCACGGTGAATCCTTCGTAGCGGTCATTGCCCTCCAATTTTATATCGGATTCCTTTATATAGGCATATGGTGGTGTCTGAAACAAGATGATTAAGAAAGCTGCTTGTTTACTTATTGTTGTCACTTACAAAACGGACAGTTAATCCTTAATTTTTCAGGTTGACAGAATAAATATGGATTAAAATTCACAAGTCTCAGGGCAGAAACCTTCTCAAGGGATTTAATTGGCAGTATGGGTACTTAACCCACTACAAAGGGCTGCTGTATGGATTTTTGGGTGCTAACGACTATAGATGCAGCAGCCAGGACTAACGGCTCAGAGTGCCTTACGCATCCTTCAACCACTGGGGGCGCGAGAAGAAGGTATGTGGTACTCCTCCCTGTTCATTTCAGCCAGCCAGGACCTGTGGCCGGATGAAATAAACAGGGCCCTACCTAACGCCCTGAAGAGGGCCACTAAAACCAGACAATACTCCTGCACCGTCACCCGACACGCACTATGAGGACCGCGATCCCCCTAGTGCGTGCCAAGAGGGCGGATGTGGTTCACGTTTCCGAATGGCCACGCACCCGCCAGGTGTTTGCCCGCGAACCCACCCCGATGAAGATGCCCCGAAGCATCAGGGGCATCAACATCCGAAATTTGCTTAACTATTGCTTGAAAAGGTTCCGCGGTGTCTTGTAAGTAGACTTCCTCGAGATTTTCAAGCGATACTGTTCTTTAAGGTACACACATCAAAAAAAGTTTGCGATCACTTTGAAAAGTAGATTGTTTTTTTGTATTACAGAAGACTTTTTTGTAATTTCTTTTTCTGATAGACATTCTAAATTTTAAAATTAGCATAAGACCGTAATACAATAAAATAATTCAATTGTTTTTCCATATAAAAAGACATGCAATCCAAGCTGACACTCATTCAGAAATCTGAATTAGTCAATATTATTGCATTAAAAATGTTTTTTCACGGAAAGTTGTGATTTAAAAATCCCACGAGGATTATCAGATGTTTTACGAGCCAGAATTGTAACTTTGAGGGAAGAAGGCTATTCTACGAGAGAAATAGCACACAGAGTTGCCATATCCCAATCTTTTGTATTAACCACGTTGCAGATAGGTACCTCGGCATGGGTAATTAAGATGATCGACCCCGTAGCGGTTGCCCAACTGTTTTGACAGCTGCTCAGAAGCGCTACATCAGGTAGTTGGTAGCCCGCGACCCAACAATAAACGCCACTAAGTTAAAAGCAGAAATACGGGCCGCCTCCGGACTTGAAGTTAGCACTCAGACCATTCGGAATTGTTACGCAAGGCTGGATTACGAGCACGGAGGTCTTGGCGAGCACCTTTGAATTCACGGGAACGTCAACGACGCAGATTACAGTGGGCTAGGCTCCGGCAAAACGAAGAAGGCGAAGAGGAAAACATTTGGCAAAACTGCCTCTTCGTTGAAGAATTGCGAATCAGTACTCATCCTCATGGTCTCAGGTCATGGAGAAGACCTGGACACTCTGAAAGCAAAGAACGGCCACTGGAACGGTTCAGCAAGGCGGGAAATCAAGTGTCCTTTTGGGGTGGTATTATGATTGGGGCTAGAACGCCTTTAATCCCTTATTAAGGCTTCATGACGGCAGACAGATACGAAACAATTGCTATTGATGGAATCGTCAGACCTTTCCGAGTAAAAAATGGGCACCAATTTGTACTAGTTGACGATAATGCGCCCGCACATCGAGCTCAACGAGTCAATGCTGCTCTCCGAGAATACGAAATCACAAGGTTAGACTGGCCTGCCGGCTCTCCTGACCTAAACCCAATAGAGCACGCGTGGAATGCTCTTAAGCGAGCTGTTTGGAACCGGTAGCCACCACCCCATACAGTGCCGCAGCTCAAGGAAACTGCTGTTCAAGAATGGGACAGGTTACCACAAGAAATGCTGGATAACTTGATCCTCAGTATGCCCAGGAGGATCTCCGCATGTGTTTGAGCCAGAGGAGGAGTTATTTTGTATTAGATAAACAATTTATTAATAAAAGGTTTTTAATTTTTGGTTAAACTAACTTGTTATTTCTATGATTTTATTTATTTTTTAAGCATTTAACTGCTAGGTGTTTAAATCTAAAGAAAAGTTTACTAGAAAAAAAATTTGTTATTTCTATTAAAGTTCTATTACAATTGCCTTAGGATTAAATTATTAAATATTTTATACTAAAAAATAAATATTAATTTAATTTTTTAATTTCAGAAAGTGTATTTTCAAATAAAAAAAGACAGAACGTAAACATTTTCTCTTGATTAAGTTAAATTTTGAAAATATATCACCTTTTGCAAGTTATCTTAAACTTTTTTTGATGTGTGTATGTAGATAAAATTTAAATTATTTCGCTGCAGGCAGTTTTCATTCCCGTGTGAATCGGCCCTTAGTCTCATCGAGTTACTAATAAATAGGTTTCTGTATTCAAGGATGTTTTATCGCTCGCCATGCAGACGTGTTAAATTAAATGATATTCTATTATTATGAAAAACAAAAGCATCTTACCAATGCTATCAGAACTTTGAGAGATTTATTGCGCAATACCGATTCTTCAATTATTTCTGTGTCCGGTATAAATGGCCTTTGTATAGTTAACTCATTAGATTTCCAGTGCCCTATCTGGAACAAACAATGTTATAATACAATAACAACTAAGCATTATGAAAAATACATAGAATACCACAGACATAGATCGAAATAAATACTGCAAGTGTATGCACTTCGCGTGCCAAAAAAATGCCAAAAGGGAGAAGAAACATCTTCTTTTTCTCACAATAAGCTGTAAAAACAATAGAATTGAAACGGGTTGCCGGCTCTTCCACCACTTAATTTACCATCAAAATATGACACGCTCGGTTTTCATACAATTTATCGCACATACTATTAAGTCGCATCGCCTAATTAAATCTAGGTCTGTGTAGAAATACTTTTTGATGCAAATGGGTCAATAAATTGGGACAAGTACAAAATGGGAATTCCGTACGTAATATCAAACGACGATTTTTAATACAGCAAGTAATAAAAAAATGGTTGCCTGCAAAGTCGGTTTGGGGACGATAATTTTACGTGATAACGTGTCGTTCGGTGTTTTCCTCGGAGCATATTTGTAGGGCTTTTTGTTCTGGTCCGTTTGAGCCCGAGCACGCCTCTGTAGCTCTATGGGATAGATATGGGATACTCGGACCGAGTTAGGCTCCGCGGGGTGAGGTACTCTTCGAGGTCCCCCTCAGGAGAGGGTCAGGGGCGAAGGGGAGGGGGATTGAAGAGACGAGACGTGTGACATGAGGTCACACTTTTTAATAAGACGTTATCACGTCAAAATAAGATCGCAAATAAATGTAAGAAAAGCCCGTGAACATGTTCAGGACTTTCTTTTTTCTCTTCTGTCAAAAAGTTTACAACAATGCAGATACATTTTATCTATTACGAATATAATATGCGATGATAAAAATAGTACCTACCAACAGCAATGCAAGTTGAATAATTTACTTAACTGTCTTTTTATCAATGCGTGAAACTTCAACTAAATTTTTAAATGTATTCAGCCAGTTATACAGGTTTGCCCAATTAGTGACGTCAACATTTTTTGAAGTTATACTTCTTTAGCCGCGTTATGTGCGAGCGAGAGTGAAATTTTTATCACTGTAACACAAATTTTAACATAATGAAGATAGCCGCGGGCGCGTTATTTGTAATATTTTATTTTCCAAGTGACCGTGGGGCAGATTTGAACGGGACATTGAAATGAAATGAAATGAAATGAGATGAGATGAGATGAGATGAGATGAGATGAGATGAGATGAGATGAGATGAGATGAGATGAGATGAGATGAGATGAGATGAGATGAGATGAGATGAGATGAGATGAGATGAGATGAGATGAGATGAGATGAGATGAGATGAGATGAGATGAGATGAGATGAGATGAGATGAGATGAGATGAGATGAGATGAGATGAGATGAGATGAGATGAGATGAGATGAGATGAGATGAGATGAGATGAGATGAGATGAGATGAGATGAGATGAGATGAGATGAGATGAGATGAGATGAGATGAAATGAAATGAAATGAAATGACATTTATTATTAATTTATTGTAATTAATTATTTGCATGCAATTAAAAACTAATTTTAAACGATGCCAAAGAAGGATAACTTCTCACGCGCCTACATAAGTACACGCACCCATAAGTACACGTACCGTAAATACCCCATATATGTTCCGCGATTTTTCTTATTTTTCCGAGTTTCTTTCTGCCAGCGAGATTTCAAATATTCATATCTTTTTTCGTAGTAGGTAATTTACAGTCTTTTTTGTGACATACTCGTAGCTATTAATAATAATAATAATGAATTGTATTTTCTCTTCACAAACAGTTTTACACAAGTTCCATGTAATCATAACAGTAAAGGCACAAATGATAAGTTTGTGTGAGACTGATGCCTGAGATAGTGGTGGGAGCCTGATGACCTGTAAAACAGGTATGTAACCATACAGATACCTGTTTTACAGGTCATCAGGCTCCCACCACCTTGGTTTATAAGAACAATTATTATGATTTACAAAAATATCTAGTTACTATCTATTATTATTTACTATCTATCTATAAAGTTTATGACAAAAATCAGTTAAGACGAGCGTATGAATTAAGAGAAAAAGAGTGTGATGTGTTATAAAGTGGTGTCACTGTGTGGTGTTGAAAACATACAATAATGTTTTCATGTGGTACCCTACGACTTATGTTGTTTGTGGTAGTTAGAATTTTGGAGTAAATGTGGGTATTTTGTGAACTTATGTGAGAGTGCACAAATAATCCTCTGTCTGGACATACATTTTATTAAAAATAAAGAGTGGACTCTCTCTTTACATTCGAAATTTGAAAGTTTATATAAGGGGAGATCAGCATTTATCCTGTTATACAAAAATGGACCCAAATAATGAAAGAACCTTTTTGTAAAAGTATAGGCTGTGAAGGGTACATCACACACTTTGTCCTTACGCCGCTTAGTAATTTGATCAAAGGGCGTTATATGATGTTGACGGAGAATGGCGTTAAGTATAAATAATTGTCGCACTGTCAAGACTTTGCAAATAGTGTATAATTCGCTTGTCGGAAAAAGAATATTGCGGAAGGTAGCCACTTTGAGTACTGCACGCTGAGCTACTTCAAGCGGTTTTAGTGTTGTTTTAGGAACCCCTCCCCAACAGGATGTGCAATAGGTGAGTATAGAACGACATAAAGCGTAGTACACGTATTGGACTAAGGTGGGATTTGCGACATGCCTCAGAGTTTTAAAAACAAATATAAGTATTCGCATTCTGCTGGTGAGGAGATTTATATAGTTTTTGAAAGTAAGGTGTTTATCGAGGGTTACTCCAAGGTCTAATTGTGTCTGCTGATGAGAGTGAAGGGCACAGACAAACCGAAACTGATGAATTTAGACAAGTGTGAGCTTTAAGAGATAGCGATGTTAAAGGTTGAGTGTTTGATCTAATGGAGAAAGTGATAAATTGGGTCTTTGATGCATTTAAAGTAAGCATGTGATTAATAATCCAAGAAGTTGTAGTATTTAGTCCATTTTGCGCAACAACTTGGAGATTGGACCATGTATCTGCAGCGTAATAGCTGTGTCATCTGCGTAAGAGACTATATGACCTTGGGGTATGTTGAGATTACACAATTCGTTAATAAAAATTAAGAAAAGAGTAGGACCGAGAATACTTCCCTGTGGCACGCCGTAGTTAGTAGGGAGTTTATCACTTTTATGATTATTTAGTTTCACTGTTTGAAATCTGTCTGTAAGATAGCTGCGGAAAAAATCAAGCTGGGAACCCGTAATACCGATATTATCTAACTTTTCTAAAAGAATTTCTTTAGGGACAGTATCGAAAGCCTTAGCGAGGTCAACAAAGATGGTAAGTACTTTTTTTCGAGAGTTGAGAGACTTAATAATATTGTCCAGTAGATCATGGACAGTGTCAGATGTAGATCTTCTTCTCTAAAGCCAAATTGTTGTGTCGATAATATGTTATAATGTTCAAGATATGCAATAAGTTTATTATTAACAATGCGCTCAAGAACTTTAGATATCGACGGAAGAATAGCTATTGGACGATAGTTAGTCACTAACTTCCGTCTCCGCCTTTGTAGATAGGGCGGACTATGGCACTTTTTAGAGCCGATGGGAAAACACCCTTAAGAAAACATAGATTAAAGATGTACGAAAGTATAGGGGAAAAAAATTTTGAGTATCGTTTGAGTAAGTTACTTGAGATGCCATCCTCACCTGTAGCAGCATTAGACCTAAGTGACAATATAATGGATCTGACTTCATCAGCATCAGTTTCAGTAAGAACAAAAGAGGGGGGTTGTTTTATTGTACGACTGTCAAAGGTGTTCGGTTTGTGGAGTGGGTTATAATCAGAAACTTTATGAGCTAATTCTTCTCCAATATTAACAAAATAGCTATTGACCAAATTACAAGACTGCAAAGGAGAAACATTTAAAGACAATAATTTATTTGAATTTTCGGAATGATCAATATTGCTAGTATTAGTTATTGTTTTGATATTATCCCAGAGTAATTTAGGATTATTGACGGCTTTATTAAGTTCCTTGGTGTCAAATTACCTTTTAACTTTTTTAAGAATTTTAGAACAATAATTACGATATCTTGTGTAGGTTAAATTAAGCGTTAAATTGTCAGGAGATTTCTTAAGTTTCTTATGAAGTAAGTCTCGATTTCGTATACACTTGAAAAGCCCTGGAGTAATCCATGGCTTAATTATTCTTTTTCTTCAAGATATTTTACGGCATATACTATTTGCTGCTATTGATTTAGAGATCGTATCGATAAACACGTTTATTGCAATATTTGGATCTTGGATTTTGAGAATAGATGAATAATCAGTTTTATCGATAGTTTGGTCTAGAGCGGCATAATTTATTCTGGTCTGAGATTCTGGAGTATTTTTTCTGTTTTGTTTTGAATTAATGCACACTAAGGAGGAGTAGTGATCAGTGATGGTGTATTCAAATATTAATGTGGTGCTTTTGAGATTAGAACGAATGAAAACGTGGTCTAGGCTAGGTAGATATCCATGAAAGGCTAAGCAGTTAAGGTAGTCATGTTGTCGTTTGTCAGAGGAGTTTGGCTTAATATCTATGTTTATGTCTCCTGTAATAATCACTGACTTGAATTTTGATAAACTGGATAAAATGTTATTTAAGGATGATAAGCAAGTATCAATATTTAAATTTGAGGGTGACCGATATACAGAAAGGATAGCAGTATCAGTACTTATGGTGATTATCAGGCCGGAAGCTGTGGACTGAAAATCTGGTTCTTCCAGATTGGTGGGAAGGTTTGACTTCACGTAAGCAACTACGCCATCACTTTGGTTTTGATGATTTGAGGTTTTATAAGATGTATAATTTCTTAATATCGGGATGACACTATTACTCAGACAAGAAAGCCAACACTCTGTTAAGATTAAAACATCACAATCAAATGGGACTCGTGCTAAGAGGGTTTGAAAGTTATTAAATTTTTTATTTAATGATCTAATATTTTGTGATAGAATTTTTATATTATTTACTCACTTACTCAAACTCCTTTTTGTATTTTTAAATTGAAGTTGAATGTTTGAGTAAATCCTACTAAAAACTAAAGTTCTAACTTTCAAGCCTTTATTGGGTAACTTTAAGTAATTTCAGGAAGCTGAGTTATTTTTTTTATTAAAACAACATTCAAGACAATTATGTCCCAAAAATGACTGCAAAATACCTACTACGAAAAAAGATATGAATTTTTAAAACCTCGTTGGCAGAAATCATAAAAAATACACAAAAAAAAATATCTCGAAAACTAAGGAAAATTGCGGAACAAACATGAAGTATTTTAGGATACCCCCAGGTGCTAGGAATCTAGAAAAAAAATGTTGACGTCACTAATTGGACCACCCTGTATAGTTATGTAAAGATAGTGTTTGAGGATAATTATTCGCATTTCAACAAGTACTTTGTACTTACAGTCTGGTTTCCCGAAGAGGTCAACTCCAACACATCAAATATGACTTCTGAACGTAATCCGCGTCCGTCGAAAAGCAAAGACCTTGTCAAGCCTTCAACTTTATTCTGAGACAAATTTACCATTTAGTTTTTTTAACAATCTTCATTAGATATTTCACTCTTGTAAATCATATACACATTATGTGATTGGTGGAACTTATTTGAATTGGATGATTACGTTTCAATGCGATTAAGAAATAGAAGTATAAATAAATTGTATAAAAAAAAGGTTGTTTAAAAAATCGAAGCTATATTTTCTTTTAAGCTGAATCACTGGAAAAGTGTTTTTGAGAGTTCTTTTGCGTAAATAAGCACATTAAGCTACATTCTAGTCACAACAAACTTATAACATAATCTTGTTACACTACGTTAAACTTGCCACATCTTGTACAGTAAAATCGTTCAAAACTAAAAATAACAAATTCATGAGCAACAAAAAGGTTTAAGTAAACATTCGTTAATAAATAAAAAATAAATAAATAAATAAAATTCGTATTTTAGTATTGAAGAGGAGAATAAAATTATTGCTTCCATAAAATTCACAACAAAAGTTGTCAATTTTCAGAAAGAACCCAACAACAACCTGCCGCATAGCGCTACGTGACTATTATAGACACTACTTCCTTAAATACGTGAAAAAAGGACGTCCATTTTGTGTTTATTTATCAAATACGAACAATGTTATTTCAGTATGGGTATAAAAAATATATTATACTTTAACATTCCACCGCTGATTTTTATGTACCTACCTATTTTTCTTTTTCACAAGGATAAACTCAACTCTGAACATTCCCTCTGATGAGGCCGTATTAGAAACATTCGCTATCCATTCAAATGTACTTACTATGCTGCCGATACCATAAGGGACATGACCAATATCTTCTAGTACATCTCTCTAGTCTTTTTTAAAATTCTTAATTACTATAACAATGGGCCTCATTCTGGCATCATTGTCTAAGCTCAAAATTATATTTGGCAACAGTTTAATCTAACCGTGTTCTATAGAGAATAAAGGAGTCTCTCCTTTATTCTCTATATTCATCATAGGTCAAATTTTGTTCAGAATCAAACCAGAATCTCAGTGTCATTACCGTTTTCATGAAATTCATTAGTGACGATCCATACATCCAGCTCTCATAGTTTTCACAGCTAAGCGATTGCGTTTGTATATAAATCAACTTCTCCAAGGCGGCAGAAAACACCTGCATCGCGTCTTGTATTAGAACCAATTCGGTTTTGATCTCTTCAGTTTGTAGACTTTTGCCAGTTTCAAGGTTGAACTGATTTGTGAAATTCCAGAGGCGATCGTTCGATTGCAGATCCATCAAACGGAAACCTGTGAGTTATAATGCGATTCAACTATGAATAGGACCGACTGGGCGCCATATTTTGACGTCATAGCTGTCAATTCAAACCAAATAGGTAGAGTGAGCAAAAAATGTTGCTATTTAATAAAACTTATTTACTCAGAGACAAAACATCAGATTTTTTAATAAAATTAATTTACATAGGTTGAGAAAGAACACAACCGATTTTTAATAGTATTTATTTATTAAGACTATGTGAAAAAGAAACATTAATCAGAATGTAGCTCTTCAATTTCGCTCATCTCTGCATTACCGCCGCAAAAGTTATGAATAATCACGCAGGTCATATACGAACATGCATCCTATATGTCAACTAAAGTTTTTAATCGAGTTTTTGAACACACCATAAAGTGACATTTGGTTGACAATTTAGGTTATCAACCAATCGCTCGTCTCTTAACGTTACGATTGATTTTGATATGTATGCTACGACCATAAAACCGATCACACATAGGATTCCGTACCATTGTTCCAAATTTACTACATCGAGCGAAAACTTTGAATAAAATCATGTCTCATAGGACACCCTATTGATTACAAAACTTATTTAGAAAAAAATTATAGTGTCCACGTGAGTGTCAATTGAAATTTTTTAACAATTTCATTTTGAGGTACAGCTCTCTGATAGACAAACGGATATCCAAGACAGGTTAGTTAGAGGCATGGATGAGAGATGATGAGATGAGATGTTTTATCAATTTTTAAGTAGGTTTAAGCGAGGGACAGTGTAACAACAGGAATATTTCTGTATCATACCCGGCTATTTGACATCTGATGACAGATGCTTAAGATGACGGCATATGAAACTAATAAAACCATGTCAAGACCATAGACAAATAAGAAAAGGGTAGAAATATTCCTTATGTTACCCTGTACCCCTTGTAACATTGTCTGCCAATTGACCCTACTTATTATTTCAAATAGTACTGATTACATTCAGTATTATTTTTGATTATTGAAACTGTGCTGTCCTAAAAAAATCTATGTTTACTGTGATCTCATACAGTACCCCCAGCACGAACCATTATCGAATTCGAATACTTTGCGAGTACGAAATGTTAATGTCAAATTTTGTATGGAAACTTGAACAGCAGCGCTGTAACGGACGTAACGAGAACTAAAAATCAATACACATTTGACAATGACATTTCGCAGTCGCAAACTATTCGAATTCGATATTGGTTCGTGCTAAGGGTACAGATCACTTTCAATTACTTGATAAAATAATAAAAAAAATATATTCATCTAAAACCTTTTTTTTTTACATATTGAGTCAGTAGACGAATTTCGCAGTCTGAGCATGTTTACTTTCAACGTTGCCACGATAGTTGTCAATAATTTATGATTTAGTTATAGATCTACTTCTTATGAAGCAAATAAGTACCAAATAATTCTGAGACCAAACTTAGTAAGGTGATTACACTCATAAAACAAGAAACTTTTATCAGACGATTAACTTAGAAATAATAAGACATATACGTATATTTTCCAGGCTTTTGTACCGAACATTAGTAACTAAGACCGTAAATTTCCTTTTTTTTTGTAAGTTTGTTTCACGTCGCTATAAATTTTTCGTACTCCAATATCAAATGTTAATTTTGCTGTGTTACATACATATTATTATTCAATGGTTTATTTAGTTACAAACAAATTCCATAGCATTACTATTGTTTTCTGTGATCTAGTCTTGGTGTAAGTGCTTATTTATTTATCTGACAATTACTTCTAAACACACATTAGTAGATCAAAATGCGAGATCTGTGCAATGCACGTGTTTGCCTACGAGCGCGCATAAAAATAAAAAATAGTGATGCGATGCGTACTGCATTAAAACGTATTTCTTTTAAAAATGATCAATGATTAAATTTGTCATAAATGGTCGCTATCTGTTCGATTCGGAGTCCCTATAATCGTTTTTAATGGACTGAACGGCAACAGAACAGACACGTCACATTAAAAAAAAACATTCCATTCATTTGATTTATTTGGGACGTTTCTGTGCTACAACAATATAGTACATAGAATAATACTAACCTGTCATATTGACTCCGCCGTATCTGTACCTCTCTAAGTCCAAAGTGAATAGATCAGGCGATATTATAATGTAAGAGTGCTCATCAGACATAAGGCCCACTTGCTGTGCGTGTCTCAGTAACTGCTCCAAGTATCTTGACGGACAATCCACCACGAAGTTGGTATAGCCATTCTCTTTTGCGTTAATAAGAACATCCCTGGAAGATTTCAATTTTTACGAGATCTACCAGAGGTACTGAGGATCAAGCACGAACTTTGACATCTCCATAATCGTATTGTCATCGTCAAATTTTGTATTGAAGGAACCAGTTTGTTGTTACGTCCGGTAGGGGCGCTGCTTATTTTTCATAGAAACTTTGACGATACCATACAGCTGTCAAAGTTCGTGCTTGGGCCTCTGCACTCGATCATAATAAACATATCGAACTTAAAATATAAAATGTTTTATTACTTCTTCATGGAAGATAGTCCTTTCAATTTCATAAAGTAAATTAATCTCATAAAGTGCTTAACTAGATTCGATTGGAATGGTATGTACCCACATACAAAACTGTAGGCCATATTATGTTTTGCGGGATTGGCATTGGAATACAGGTATTGGAGCACTTAATACTAGTAAATGCTTGAACAACTATCACACAATCTTCATCAACCTATTAATGTCCCCACTCCTTGGGTACAGACCTTCTCTATGGATGCGAGGGGTATTCCTAACCGATCACCTGAGCTGTCTACCTAGGTGGTCATTTAGGAACTAAAGATACTAACCGAACACCTTTATAATATGTGTTTGACGACCTCCGTGGCCGAGTGATTTGTACGCCGGGTTTCATGGTGTCGTTGACTCGAGAGGTCCCGGGCTCGAATCCCGGTGGGGGCAGATGTTTGTGTCATGAATACGAGCATTTGTACTCCAGTGTTTAATATGTATTTCTATATAAATATACTTATATATGTACAATATATGTATTCTATCCGTTACCCTAGTATCCCATAACACAAGCCTTACAGTGCTTACTTTGGGGCTAGGCTAATTGGTGTGAGTGTTGGAAAAAAATAATAATAATAATGTTTTCTTCTGTTCAGTTAACTATGCCATCGATAAGTCCTTGGTTATCACGAGAAATAAGCGTGGAGTTATTGTCCTAGTACCTTCATCAGAATTAACAACTTGTAGTTATTTTAACAAACACTAAGTCCGGTATATTGCAATAAAAATAAAAAAAAATATGATTCCTGTGGGATTCTAAAAAACTAACTTTAATGCGGACAAAATTGTTGGTGCAAGCTAGTGTTTAATAAGTTTGTAATATGAAAACCTTTTTTTATTAGTATCGAAGAATTACTGAGCATAGGTGTTCAGGTAGAATCTGAGGTTCCTAACTTCCTAACTTTTGCCTAACTGCGTTCCTAACTGATCGACAAGGTGGTGGTTGAGAATTTTATTTCTAACTGACCAACCAGGTCGGTTTGGAGCACGGGGTTGGCATAAGGAGAAAGGGCTTATTAACAAATATTGATAAAGATCTCCCTATTCCACCCATGGGGGAGGCCTGTGTGCCCCTACAGTGGGGACATTAATAGGCTGATGATTATGATGGCACATGCAGAAAACAAATATTAGAGTATATTGAACTTTAATATGCGTAAGCTTCGCTTGGTATGTTCACAACAGAAGTGAACCAAAGAAAAAAAACAGGGCAATATCATAGTGATAAATAGTTTCATAGGTTTCATACTTCTGAAATGTAATTAGAGGAAGGGGCACATACATATTAATAGCTCAAAGAAGCTGCAAGTCATCGATTGTGAAGAGTTCACGAGAAGCTTTTGTTATGAAGCATCGACCTCCTTTATTCACACGTTTAATAACGACGATCATTGTGAGCGGTTATAAGTTTTTTTTTTGTAAACAGTCTTATATTTGAACTAGGAAGTAGTTATTTATACCTCATGTATTGTGACTTAGGTTTATTATTCGACTTTTTTAATCTAAACTAGTAACCCACCGTCGCGGCGTGTCGCTTCGTTTCGATTTTGACTATAGTTTTATGTTTTTAAATATCATTGTATGAAACACTTCAGACGAAAAATTCACTCAACTTGATAAGAATTCATAATTGCTGACAATATTACCAATAAACATGACATTCTATATAACTTCTTTTTATATAAAAAACTGATTTTTGTGACTTAAATATATAAGTAAGACATAAATGCTGTCGCTGACTCTATTTATAGGCATTATCAAGCTCTACAACTGTTCTCTAGAACTGAATCATACATTTTTCATCGTTAAGGCAGCGTTCGCAAACGTTTTTCGAGCATTTTTTCTCCCATTTGTTTTAAAAATCCGACTAAGGTAGTGGCTCCAATGACCGATAGGAGCCATGATCGTCATTTTTTCTGTGATTAATTAAAATAAGAATTGGTGGTTGTTTGCTGAGTGTGATAACTGCAATTTTATATATCTATCAATTTTACGACCATACAGAATACTTACTACTGTTTGTTAGCTTACCTGTAATCAGAACCATCCAATTCTCTTACTGAAATAGTATACTTGTCGGTGTCGTTGCCCATCATCAATAAATTTTGCAGCCGCAACAAGCTGTTGCCTCTCACGTACACCAAAGTAAAATTTCTCCATTCCTTTTCTAAAACCAGCTTTTCTAATACCTGACAAAGTTTTGAGTATTTATAGTACATTACTGCAGCGGCCGGCAAAATGAGGAGGCATTAATGACGAACGTGTAAAGCACACATACGTAAGTCCATCAATGCCTAGGTGCGGCCAAGACTTGTTTAGCACTTTTCTCAAATAATGCGCGAGAATACAATTCGGTACTTCTCAAAATGAATACCGAACAAATAACATGAAAAAGTCACGCGTGTGGCCGCTACACCACAAGTGTCTCACAGGCAGACAGACGCGACCTGCGGAGGTTGGGCGGTCAGTTGTAATCGCTTGCAATGTAAGTGAGTTCAAACACGAGTGGCCAATCAGGGCTGGCCCCCGCCGCGGGTCATCTCTGTGAGATCCTTGAGTAGGAGAACCTATGCTAATGTTGATTTTGAAGTATTTTAATACATATTAATATTAAGCATTTTAAAGTCCTTTTATTTTTTTACTATTATTATATTATTTAATAGAATTGTGGAACCATATTCAATAGAAAACAAATCATGAATTCACTACAGATAAACAAATGAAGAATTCCGCTTAAAGGGCCTATCATTATAAAGTTTACCCTAGTAAATGCTACACCACGATGAATAAAGATTTTCATACTACTTTTGCCATCTGCTGCTCACATGTGTTTGGCCAGTACAGCAATTTTAATTTAAAATGTTGTATGAGGTCTTCAAAATAACGCTTAAATTTCCAAGCATATTAAAAAAAATGTTACTACAAAAATTTTTAATTGCGACCGTTTTTGAAGTAGGCGTTATTGATTTTCTTAGATTTATATTTACAACAAAAATCTAATTTCTTACTGTGGGGTTCTCCCACAATCTCATTTATACATATTATATAAGTATTTAGAAACATAGCAAATATTATATAATATGTATTTACAATTTAGAACTACAAATAAATATAAAACATTAAATATTAAAACCAAATGTATTTACATTTATACAAAATAACATTTATTATTTACACATTATTTAAATTTAACATATAACAATATTTATTATTTACATTCATACACAATCATCACAAGCACATACATTTATTCACAAACAATATCACTATCGTGCCGTGCATCAGTTGATCTACGGAACTCGTATGGCGAATGGACACGCGCACTCGCTCCACCGCCTATTGTTCGGCAAACCGGCCGGCTCACGCGCAGAGGTCACGTTGCACGACAGTCGGAACCTATACTCTGTACCGTACGCACGATCAATTGCTCCTCGCTTTATAGCCCCGACACTCGTAGTTGTAGTCAACTGTATTATTGTTTATGTTGCTTTGTCTGTGCTTTTCCTTTATACTTTTGTGCTTGTTTATCACTGACTGTGCTCTGTACTCCTTCTATTATATATACTTTCCTCTGTGCTTGTGCAATAAACTATTAACTGTGAAGTGCTGGATTATTGTTTACACCGCCTCCCGACTGCACCGCAGATAAGTACTAAGCGAACATTATCTATCTTCACCCAACAACGCTAAACTGGTGACCCCTGTAGAACATACAAAATGAGTGATAGCAGTGATTCCGCCAAAACGGTCGACTCCCGTAAGGAAAATGTCACTACCCGCCACCAAAAGAAAAAGCGCGTTTCCATGGGCACACGTCACGAGTCATCCGATTTAAAGCCATACACCCTGAAGGTTCCGGCATTTTCGCCAGATGATCCCGAACTATGGTTCGCGCTTTTGGAGGGCCAATTCGGAAGTTATGGCATAACAGAAGACGCAATAAAATTTAACAACGTCGTCACCAATCTCGACATAACCCATGCGAAGGCTGTAAAGGACATCATCGTGAGCCCACCATCTCGAAACCGCTACGAGAAAATCAAGAGCGAGCTGATCAAGCGCCTTACTGCCTCCCAAGAGAAGAAGGTCAGGCAGTTGCTGACTCACGAGGAGATTGGAGACCGCAAGGCTTCACAGTTTTTACGACACCTGCAAGACCTAGCGGGCCCTAACGTCCCGAAGAAGTTCATACGATCGATCTGGACCAGCCGTCTTCCACAGAACATCCAGACTGTAATAGCGTCTCAACCTACGCATTCTCTGGAGCAGCTAGCAGACTTAGCGGATCGCATCCAGGAAATAACAGCACCTGGGCAAGTTGCAGCTACTTCGTCCTCCGGCATACCACCTGGCCACAGCATTTCTGGTGAAATTAGCGAGCTTCGGAAAATGGTGGAGCACCTCGCCATGAAACTCGATGAGCATTCACGATCTTCGCGCAACTTCAACCGATCCAGACCTCAACAGCGACGAACATCTTCTCACTCATCGTCAAGATCGGCGTCCAGTTACCGGCGCTACCCCATCTGCTGGTACCATGCAAAGTTTGGCTCAAAAGCTAAGAAATGCCAACGACCTTGCGACTACAAGTCGGGAAACGCCGCAGGCAGTCGGTAATGGCGACTGACGATTGCCTCACCTCTCCTGGTCGCCTCTTCATCACTGACCGCACCACGAAGATACAGTTTCTGGTCGACACAGGCAGCGACCTCTGTGTTTTCCCCCGCTGTCAACTTCGAGAGCGACGTGCACCAACGAGCTACCATCTCACCGCAGCCAACGGGACTACTATCTCCACCTACGGCTACGCGCACTTCAACCTGGATCTGGGTCTACGCCGTACATATCCTTGGCGTTTTGTGGTAGCTGACGTCACTAAGCCCATTATAGGGGTAGACTTTTTGTGCTTTTATAGCTTGAATGTAGATTGTAGAAGTAAGCAGCTTATAGATAGTACAACAACTCTTTCTACACCAGCTTCACTGGCTTTAGCTTTAAACAATGTGCTTTCCGTAAAGGTTCCCACTGGTGAATCGCGTTACCACCTTTTGCTTTCTCGCGATTTTTCAGAGATCACGCGACCAGCTGGTACACAACGCACCACACCACACAATACACAGCACCACATCCGCACCACACCAGGTCCTCCGGTTTCGTCTGCACCCAGACGTCTGGCGCCGGACAAATTGAAAATAGCGAAGGCCGAGTTCGACGCCATGGTAGCCAATGGCACAGCTCGACCTTCCGAAAGTCCGTGGTCGTCTCCCCTGCATCTGGCGCCGAAGAAAGATAACGGCTGGCGTCCTTGTGGCGATTACAGGCAGCTCAACGCACGGACCATACCAGACAGGTACCCAATACGCCACATCCATGACTTCGCCCATAACATCTCTGGTTGCAAGGTCTTCAGCACCATTGACCTTGAAAAGGCGTACAACCAGATACCGGTCTGCAAGGAGGACATACCGAAGACCGCCATCACCACACCCTTCGGCATGTTCGAATTTCCATATATGACGTTTGGTCTGCGAAATGCAGGCCAAACTTTTCAACGTTTTGTCGATGAGGTGACACGAGGCCTGGACTTTGTCTACTGCTATTTAGATGATTTTTTGATCTTTAGCAGAGACCACACGAGCCACGAAGACCACCTCAGACAAGTTTTTAGCAGACTCCGGGACTATGGCATGGTCGTCAACGTGTCCAAGTGTGTTTTCGGGGCTCCCGAGGTAACCTTTTTAGGTTATCGTATTTCGGAGAGCGGAACCAAACCACTGGACCAAAAGGTACAAGCCATCCGCGACTTCCCCCCACCAAAAGACGTCAGGTCTCTTAGACGATTTTTGGGTATGGCCAATTTTTATAGGCGATTTTTGCCGAATGCCGCTCAAACCCAAGGGCCTTTGAACAACTTGCTCATGGGGGCAGTAAAAGGTTCCACACCCATCACCCTAGCTGACGATGCTCTGAAGGCTTTCTCAAATACCAAAGAAAGCCTCTCCAATGCAGCTCTCTTGGCACATCCAGATTGTCGAGCCCAGCTGGCATTGGTTACAGACGCATCAGACCTGGCTATAGGAGCCGTCCTTCAGCAGCAAAAAGGTGACGTATGGGAACCCCTAGCCTTTTTCTCCCGGAAACTTAATCCAGCACAGCAAAAGTATTCACCGTACGATCGTGAACTTCTTGCGATCTACGAGTCCATCAAATACTTCCGGCATATGCTTGAGGCAAGGCATTTCGTAGTGTACACGGACCATAAGCCGATTTGTTATGCCTTCCATGAGCGGAAGCGTAATTGTTCGCCTAGGCAGTTCCGTCATCTGGACTACATATCCCAGTTCACAACCGACATAAGGCATATCTCCGGCAAAAACAACGTCGTTGCCGACACCTTATCTCGCGTTGATGAACTGGCCGCACCGATTTCCCTCGCCAACCTCGCCCAAGCCCAAGAATCTGATACAGAACTGGCCCAATACCTGTCAGACCCTTCTTCTCTCCGTCTCGAAAAGATGGATTACCCTGGTTGTCGAACTCCTCTGTACTGTGACATCAGTACACCGACTCCCAGGCCATTCATCACCAAAGAATTACGCAGACAGGTATTTCAAAGCCTCCACTCACTTAGTCACCCCGGTGCCACAGCCACTGCACGGCTCGTTGCCGACAGATTCATATGGCCCGGAGTGAGAAAGGACTGTCGCGAGTGGGTTCGCACTTGTTCGTCGTGCCAGCGTGCAAAGGTGAGTCGACACGTATCTGCACCTTTAGGTACTTTCGACTTGCCTCGCGCGCGATTCAAGCACGTCCATATCGACCTTATCGGTCCCTTACCCATCTGTCAAGGGTACAAATATTGCCTGACAGCTATTGACCGCTTCACTCGGTGGCCTGAAGTCATGCCATTGATGGACATAAAAGCTGAAACGGTAGCTAAGGCTTTAATATCTGGCTGGATATCGCGTTTTGGTTGTCCTATAGATATTGTGACAGATCGCGGCGCACAATTCGAGTCCGCGCTGTTCCAATATCTCGCAAAAACACTAGGGTTCCACCATAAACGCACCACCGCTTACCACCCGGCATGTAACGGTCTCGTGGAACGCTTTCACAGGCAGTTGAAAGCCTCCATTACCTGCCATGCCCAACAAAATTGGATCGAGGTGTTACCACTGGTACTGCTTGGCATCCGTACCGCCTTCAAAGAGGACTTACAATCTTCTACGGCGGAGTTGCTATACGGCGAGCCGTTACGTCTTCCTGGCGAATTTTTCCATCCGAACACACCTGGCACATCTGACTTGTCAGATTTTACGGCTCGGTTACGTTCGTACGCCGAAAAACTAAAGCCTGTTCCAGCATCTCGCCATGGCAATCACAAAGTGTTTGTCTTTAAAGAATTAGCCGCTGCCGATTATGTCTTTCTGCGAGAAGATGCTTCACGCGTGACTTTCCAACCTGCCTACTCTGGACCTCATAAGGTTTTAGAAAGAAACGACAAGGTGTTCAAACTTCTTGTCAAAGGTAATCCCGTCACCGTGAGCATCGACCGCTTAAAACCAGCATTCACGCTTACAGACGAGGAAGACCTGATACATGACACACACACAGACACTCCTCCAAACACCACTAATACATATACACATAATACACACACACCCACTGTAACCCAGCCTCAAAAAACCACACGCTCTGGGAGACACGTCCGTTTCCCAGATTACTATCGACCCTAACCAGGTCTCTGAGGGGGGGTTATGTGGGGTTCTCCCACAATCTCATTTATACATATTATATAAGTATTTAGAAACATAGCAAATATTATATAATATGTATTTACAATTTAGAACTACAAATAAATATAAAACATTAAATATTAAAACCAAATGTATTTACATTTATACAAAATAACATTTATTATTTACACATTATTTAAATTTAACATATAACAATATTTATTATTTACATTCATACACAATCATCACAAGCACATACATTTATTCACAAACAATATCACTATCGTGCCGTGCATCAGTTGATCTACGGAACTCGTATGGCGAATGGACACGCGCACTCGCTCCACCGCCTATTGTTCGGCAAACCGGCCGGCTCACGCGCAGAGGTCACGTTGCACGACAGTCGGAACCTATACTCTGTACCGTACGCACGATCAATTGCTCCTCGCTTTATAGCCCCGACACTCGTAGTTGTAGTCAACTGTATTATTGTTTATGTTGCTTTGTCTGTGCTTTTCCTTTATACTTTTGTGCTTGTTTATCACTGACTGTGCTCTGTACTCCTTCTATTATATATACTTTCCTCTGTGCTTGTGCAATAAACTATTAACTGTGAAGTGCTGGATTATTGTTTACACCGCCTCCCGACTGCACCGCAGATAAGTACTAAGCGAACATTATCTATCTTCACCCAACAACGCTAAACTTACAATTAATGATTACGTTTATTATATAATTATTAATTATCTTAATCTTACCAAAATGTTGTAACTATGAAACAGGGGGAATTTCCAACTCAAATTGTAGCCTTTGTTTGGGCAAAGAAAACCCCCTCCAGAGGTAACATCGAGCTCTATGACGCATGGAATATGATAAGGTTAGGGTAATTAATACCTCCCCAGCGTTATGCTTCTTTATACTCTTCTGGTCATCGCCAATTCAAAGGAAATTAACATGTTTTGAAAACTATATTATCAGTTTTACGAGTATATACATCATTAGCTTCTGTTTTCATAACATTGAAAGTACAGATAAACCTACCTACATAAATGAAATATTATTATAGTAATATAAGTTATTTGCGGGATTGTGACCGTGTACCTTGTTTTAGCGAGTTTCCAATATTTCGACACTGTTGCAAGAGCTATGACCACAGAGTAACAGTACCGAAATATCGGAAACTCGCTAAAAACAGGTGCATATATGGTAACAATCCCGTAAATAACTTATATTACCATAATGTTAGTGACCATGAAAGCTTAAAACAATATATTATTATTGAAATACTCTTAAAAGAAATGGGTATCACTTACCATATTGTAAGCTGTCGGACTAGGATACAGGTTTAGCAGGGACCAGTTTTTGGTGTTGATGACGTCATGTCGAATGACGACATGGGGTAGCTCCATGGTGTCGCATAGCGCTTGGATAATCTCACTGGAGCGTCCACCGATCCCATCTACTATGCCAAGGACGCTTTCCTAAAATTTATTTATACTTAGATGTTATACGTAGAAAAAATAAATATTAAAATAGTTACCTTTAGGGATATATTGTTTACGGGTGGGACAAAGCATCATAGCATCGTAAGGTGTATAATTTTGTTAAAGAGGCATTGTGAAATAATCTTGTGTAGATCGTGAAGGATGAACGAACAGGAACCGTTTCTTAACACTGTATTAAAATAAACATTTCCGAATGCTGATTTGTAATCGGTCTATTAGTTCTAATAGCTCCTCGCTCGTACAGTTACAATTATGCCGGCACTTCACTTGGCTATTCGTATTTGCTATTTGCTGACTGTGCCTATATTGACGCTTGAAAATTTCTTGTAAAGTAATATTTAATTGTAAATCGTAATTGGAACTGTTTAAAATTTTTTAGATAAAACCCACAAAAAAGACGTGAAACAGTAAAGCCAGTTTGTTACACCTCCACAGAAAAACACGGTTTTGTTATTTCTTAGTCACATCAAAGATGTCAGTTATATATGCAATCGTGTTTTTTCACCAAACATACGTGAAACGCTTGAAATCGAATTAGTCAAAAGCGGTCAGAGTAGTGTAGGACAGAAAAGTGTTAGTAAACTGTCGATATTTTGGATTTGGTTGAGTTTAGTTTGGTTTTGAGATGATGTTTTTATTATTATTACAATTTTATCGAAGCAAATTTTTATAGGTAAGAAAATAAAAAGAAAATCTTGTCCAACCTAATACCTTAACTGATCTGATTGTTATAGTAATATATTCTCTATTGATATAATTGATCTAGAAATTCTAAGTATAGATAGTATTGATACCATCAATTTTGTAGATCCTATGAATTAAAAAAAAAACACATTTATTATTTTTCAAATAGATAAATTGATTGGTCTCCCTGCGGTCGACCGAAGGGAGTACAATTGTTCATCTACAATTTTCAGTTATAAAAACTGTCGATCATGAACACTCACATGATATTGACAAGTCTCCAAAAAATGTGAGTTTATGCATACTGACCTCAGCAAGGGAACAGACGTGTTCGCTCACTTCAAGTGTTTCTCCCCTTTTAGACACCTCCCTTAATATGGGCGTGAAGTTGTACATTTTAGCACTTATAGTGAACGCCACTTTCGCGTCCTCCGCATCTTGATAGAATATACCACCTAGAATTCAAGGTATTTATAAGATAGAAAGTATCCAAATGTATCTTCATTGAACATGGTGTCACTGTTTTTATTTTTATTTAAGCCAAATGAAACTTAACTATCTACACAAAATAAGTGTACGTATAACAAGGGACTTAATACAGAGTTATTATGCGTTCAAGGGCGCCCACAAAATAAGGAAATATTTAAGCATAATGCCTTAGACTCCGAGTGAAATCGGGAACGGAACTGTGGAATAATGATAATGCGTGTGCATTAATTATATAAGTAGGTAGCTACCCACACTTTTCTACTAACCTATTTTGTATTCCTCAGCGACCGCACATGACACTAACAACGAAAACACAAACAGTACACTCACAGCCATATCGATTCACCACAAGTTTAACTTTATCACATTTTTGAATGGACGCCGTCAATTTCGAAGTCTAATTTCACGTATTCACGTTCAGTGTTAATAAACGGTAACGAGTTTATGTTATGTAGCGAGCATTGTAATTGCGGCAGAGTTTAGAGTTAATCAATGTTTAGAACTGCAAGAGTGACCGGCCTACCGATTGGTAGTAATGCGTGTGACGCGACGGCGCGTGCGACGACGTCGTCAGAAATAATCCCGACCTAAATATAAGACGAGTTTTCCACAATCGAGACGGTTTGCCCAAGCGCCGTTCGTCGCCTGTGTAAAAAGCTGTAGTTTGTCAATCTTAATCATAGAGAATTAAACAAATTACGTAATGATATAAAAGTATTAATGCATTGTATTGTTGGTATACATTTAACATATAAGGATACAAATTGATTTAAGGGAAATTGTAAAAATTCAGCCTAAAAGTGCAAATGGTCTTTTCAAACAAAATATGGGCTATATTTAAAGTATCATTGAATCATTATTGCCGTAATAAATTTCAAGATAATAGTACACAGTAATTTTATACATATAATGCTTACTTTAGGACCTAATGGCTAAACTACTTAAGAGTGTCTGGGAGCAGTTAAACCATTATTCAGAGATCTGATTTTAAACATGAAACTGAATTGCTTAATAAAGCTTCTGATTCATTAAAGAGGTGCGTTGTCCACAGATAAATCTGTTGAAATTAAATATGTACCATGCACATACAAAATATAGTTTAATATTCTAATTCCGTGGTCAATGAGTCCTCATTTTAAACACCAACTATAACCAGCTTCCTCCAGTTTTTTAATAACATTTCCTAAGTATTACAAGCACAGACTTAGATTGAAGTAGACACCATGTGTACTTAAAATTGAAGGGTAACCGAGCATGTCAGATTTTAAGTACTCACGAGAAAAATTAGTGGAGAAAAGGCATGGGGCTCGTTCACCTATTTTAATATTATCGTTTTTACAGCTTAATATGACTCCGCGTTGCACAACGAGCAATCGAGAGACAAATGCTTGGCGTTCCTCTACAAGTTCATAGGAGAAATGAGTGGATTTGAGAAAGGACCAGCCAGGTGATCAGCAACGTGGTGGTAGAGATTGAGAGACGTAAATGGAGATGGGCAGGTCACATTGCACGGATCCTGGCCAGGCTGGGCTGGCAGCTGGGCCAGAAACCTAGAGTGGAGACCCCGCAATGACACCCGCGGCAGAGGATGACCGGTTAAGAGATGGACAGATGACATCCGGCAACGGGCTGGAATTAACTGGATACAAGTGGCCTGGGACAGAAGTCAGTGGAAAGTTGAAGAAGTGGCCTATGTTCGAAGATGAATCCAAAGGTTCGCAAAGATAGATAAATATTTGACGTCTGGTATGGAGAACGGTGACGCAAAGAAATGAATTAGCACAAAAGGAATACCATTGGTCTCCCTTTTGGCACATGAAGTACATACACTTGCGTTATCTATTTCTATATTATGTCTGTGAACTAAGACTTGTAAGCATATAAGCAGAAACGCAGATAATGCTACTCTGCCTCTATAAAATATTTACGAGCGTTCTTGTTACAACTGTTTCGTAACGAACGCATCTATCGTCTCCCCATTAAGAGAATTATTCCATCTTGCAGATTATATCTTTCAACACAAATTACTGCCGGAATAACACTTTTGTTCGGGATATTTTTAAAAGCTTTAATTTAACTTTAAATTTATTTAAGTCAAATGTTGCAATTGAATTTCAGAGTAGTTATCCTAAAACTGTAGTCTTCACCAAAGCGAAGCGACGGCTAGTCACTAGTTATAAACGTGGAAAGTAAAGTATGATCCTAAATGTAGATTTAATCATCATCATCATCAGCCTATTAATGTCCTCACTGCTGGGGCACAAGCCTTCCCTATATATGGATTTGGGAGATTGGGCCATGACCCACCACGCGGGCCCGGTGCGGATTGGTGGGTGCTAACGACTGCAGACGCAGCCGGGACCAACGGCTTAACGTGCCTTCCGAAGCACAGAGGAGCTCGAGATAGTAAATTTTTGGTCACCCATCCAATGACCGACCACTGCGAAAGTTGCTCAACTTCAACGACAGCAGCCGAACGCGCTAACCACTGGCGCCATCCATCGAGCTAGCTCCTCGAGCTTGAGAATGTAGATTATTTAAATCAATTTATAACAATTAAAATTGTTAAGCTATACAAGTTTAACTTTATCTAATATTATATTATAAAGCTGAAGTCGAGGGCACCTGGGGAGGGTAACCCATGGATCAGAAATGGGCATGGGCAGTTGAGGATGAAAGTCGGGTAAACAGAAGAAGTTGGGTTAGCTTAGTTTTGCGGCCAGCGAAGCGCCAGAACAATATATTTTTATACTTTTTTTTTTAGTTTAGAGCTGTATGACGTATGGAGCAGGGGGATGGTGATTCCTCCATGACCCCAATTTATATCGTGGAAATGGGTCGTGATAAGGAACATCGTTTGTATATGACACTCTTTCGTTAACCTTCATCTTCCTTATCCTACCGGTGCCCCGTGCCCCCATCGCCCGACCTCAGTGGCTCTTAATTAGTATCGTTTACAGAGGAGTAAGTATTAGCTAAAAGAAATGTAAGAAGACCGCTTCGTTCGACAAGTCGTTATTTTCCTCCGTCCACGTGAACGAATTCGCGGGCAAAGCTAGTGTTTCGTAAATTTAACAATTAGGGAGTCAGCGTGGAAGTATATTCCGAGAAAAATACGACACATTTTTTTTTTTTTCGAATATATAACCTAAATCTTTGTCTGAATTAGCTAGTTAAATTTCTTAGGTAGCTCAAAATTCACGTTGTATAATATTATACGAATTAGATAGCTTTTGTATTAAATAAGGGGCGAACCTATATGTGTTAAAGTAGCTTTGTTCCTTACCTAATAGAATTATAGAGTACTGGACTTGTTTTTTTCTTTTCAGTTTTTATTTGAAGTAATATTGAAGCAGTCGGGTTTTTTTGATTTTTTAAATTTAGCTTGTTTTAAAGTTAAGCTTTTATTATATCGCCATAATTTTTTTCGTTAGCACGTCGCATTACGTTTTTGATTGTTATTAAATAATTCCGACACCTCAACAAGCATCGGTGGTTCAGTAGTAGAAATGTCACATACCACGCGGGCAGCCCGGGTTCGAATCCCAGCTAAGGAAGGAAAGTCCTTCCTTTTATTAATAATTTTAAAAGTTTCACTTGCATTGTGTATATAGTTCACCATCAGTTTGATAATCTTTCACGAAAGGTATTTACGGCACAAGTACATACCTGAAAACATAACTTTAGTCTACACCGAAACGAAGCAAGGTGGAATAACTAGTTATAAATCAGTACCTGGTACACAGGAAATAAGAGTCTACGTTCGTCAGCACGGATGCAATTAAATTTTCACTTAAGTAAATAATTGGAGAGATACGAACGACAATGGACCCGATACTACGGTTTTAATTTTGTTTTTATAAAAATACTAGTATCAATTTACTCACCTAAATACACGAAAGGTTTTTTGTACTATCCAATTTCGCAAGGGCTTGGGGAAAATGAGAAAATAATAAATATTATCAAAGCCGGATTTATATTTAAGTGATAAAAATAGATTGATTTATAAGTGAAAATAAGATGAGTTGAGTTTATTTACTTTCTTTTATTTTGAGATTTATTTTCTCATAGATTGCTTAAAATACATCTGATGTTAAGTGTGAGTTAAATGGATATAAGAGTCAAATACAAATACGGTAAATGCTGCAAAATTTTTGCACATACTTCTAGCCATCCTCACTTTTCAGTCCTCAGCCATTTCCTTTAACTGATGTAATTCGGGATTTTTTTATATTAAAAACAAGCATACACGCATGTGTACGGTGAGCCACTACCACAGCTTTAGACACTTGTTATACTAGCAAAATTATGCTGTAAGAGCAATCTCACTTTTCACCGTGGTATCAATCGGTGTCATTTGAAATTCGTGTTCTAATTTAAATCACACCGCGGATTCCAAGGTGAAAAGTGAGTTTTTATGTTACAGAATAGCTCTGTAAAGCTATAAGCACGAGGGATGTCTACACTAATTTCATTTCTTCTCTGTTTTACGACACAAAATTTAAGCAATAGTACACGTTTTCACCTACAACAAGGCGGACGTGTTCTCACTATCAATTTAGTGTAACATAATCGTCTAACAAATCAAATCTATTATTTCTATTAATAAACATCATCTAAAGATGTCCTGTACAACTGTGAAGCACTGGAAACTGAATACCTACTAAATAATATTGTTATTTGGCTGCAGTGTTCTGTAAAATGGAGGATGCTTCTACCGACAGCTGCTGCAAAAAGATATACGACATTCTATTCCTACTAATATTTTAAATGTCAAAGTTAGTTTGCGTGTTTGTAGGTATGTTTGTTACTCACCATCATCAGCCTATAAATGTCCCCAATGCTGGGGCACAGGCCTTCCCATGGATGGAGTAGGAGATGTTTGTTACTGAATCTCGTAAAAATGGCTTATCGGATTTGGATTCAATTCACATACAGTGTGTGAGCTAGATTGACACATCAGCTACTTTTTATCCCGGAAAATTTTAGATTCTTGTGGGATTCTCAAAAGATTAAAGTTAACTCGGACGAAGTCGCGGGCGGGCGCTAGTAGTTACATAATTTGCAACATTCTATTTGTTATTGGAAAAGATGAACACTAAGAGAAAAAAACGGTACCTATGCATTTATAGATACAGCTTAAAATTAACTGTCAACCATTAATGGTTTTGCCAGCAACTTTTATTATTTACATTACGTTTTATAAAATTTTAGGTCATTAAGTTTATCACAACTTCAATACAATTAAAATTTCACGTGTTTCAAATTTAGATACTCTACGAAATGTAGCGTGATTAGTGTAATAATAATAGCGAAATAAAAAAATGTCTTGCAAA